GTGAGGATACGCCACCGCGTTCCACACTATTTCACGGCCTGAGCCTTTAATCGCAGCAGCCACAATGGATGCATAAAATGGAATTCAAATTTCAGATTGATTGATTCTATATTGATGAATGCCAAGGCTGGCTTAAGGAGAAAAAAAAAGTAACCTCTTTGAGAAGGCGAGTCCTTACTCCTCTCGTGTGCCTGTTTGTTGCTTTAGTCGTGCTTCAAAATATGAAAATTCTCGTTTTCTGACGTTTAATCTCTCACAAGAAAAGGTAGGAGGCTGAATGCAAATGCAGAAATTTGCTATAGCTTTGCTTATTACTGCTCGTGGTGGAGAATTCCAACACAGTAGTCACAACACTTCAAACTGTTGGTTTTGAGTTTTATCACCTCATGTTTTAGTAAAGGCCTCTAGATGAGCAACATCAAAACAAGGAAAGGAGGGAAGATACTTAGCATTTCAACTTCTCTCTTAAAACAATGTTCAACCCTCGCCTTCCCCACTCTATTGTGTCTCGTCTCTTAATCCCCTCAAGGCACCTCACACAGTAACAGAGCTGGCATAAGCACATTTGGTACTGTTTGCAGTGTCGAGATTAACAGGATTACAGATTAGGGATTACATTGGCGTCATTCTTACCCATTTAACCTTGACCCATGCCCCACTCAGACGATTCAGACGGTCAGTCCAAACTTGTTTTTGTGTTTGTAAGACCTGAGTGTTTGCACAAAAGCTCAGTAATATTTGTTCAGGAATAAATACAAACAAAACGTGTGTGCGTGCGCGCTTTGTAGTGAGATGACTGGGATTGTAGATTCTTCTAATGAGTCTCTTGGGTCTGTGTCCGCTGTGATCGAGCAACTTTGGTAGAGGCACATCAATACACAGACAAAGACAGAAAAAGTGACAACAACAGTAGCCTTTTGATGAGTGTCCTATGGATCCCCCCCCCCCCCCCCCCCCCATTTCCTTCTACACAGTTTCCATGCCTCTGAACACAACGTAACTCTTGCGTTTCCATGGAGAACGTTCTGTTGCCAAGGCCTTCAATGATTGAACACAGAGGGTCGTCGTTTATTTCTGTCAGTCAGCGACGAGGGGACGGATCGAGGAGAAGGGGGCAGCGCTGGATCCTCAGGGGCTCGGAGGGTCCAGCGCTCCTTTTTAAAAGTTTATTTGTCGAAGGGATCACCTACTGCTGGCTGACAGTGTTAATGTACTGACTCTCATCGCAAGCCCTAGGACACTTAGTGTTATTCACACTTTAAAAGAAGTGCAACCATGGTGTCAGCGTGGGAGGGTAAAAGGAGAGGAGGAAAGGGGGAGGGGGCAGGACGTGCACGGCTACATATGGCCAACCTTAGCGTTGTTTACCCAGAGAGTTGTTACAGCTGAGGACCAGGCTCCGTCCTCCTGTTCCTCATCGTCTCTCATTAATCTAGCAGTATGCTGCTGGCCTGCTTCCCATGATGTAGAGCGTGCAGGTTTGACTGACCACCCACCCTGAGGGAAAGCATTAGTCTGTCCTCTCGGCCGTCACCTGCTTTTGTTTATGCCGCCACTTCATTCTGTCACCATCATTCAGCTGCTATAAAATAATGAGGTAAATATTTTAATTGATGTTTTTCAAAGCCTTGAGATTGATGGTTGCCCTTGGGGTGAATGTCTCGCTCATTTCTCCCACCAGGGTTTTGTAGTCGAGCATCCTGTCCTTTCCTCTGCTTTTGTCCACCCTTCCACTTACACTTTTGAAAATCTCCCTTTTCTTTGTGCTTTGCTTTTGCTCTTTTTCCTCCTATTGGTCTACGTGCCGCCTCCATTTAGGGAGACATTACAGAGGTCATATTAAGCCTGAGCTCTCTCCATCATTGAGAATGAAAAGGTTGGTTATCAGATACACATCAGTCTCCATCTGCCTCTCCTTTATGCATGAGTTAAGATACTGACTCTCTTTGGCAGACTGAAACACCCGGGGTCTCTGCGCACCTTTCTGGCTGCTCTTTACCTTACGGATGTGTCTGCTGGCTATACCTCTCATCAGCTTCCGCTAACATGAAATATTCATGTTCACCTTTCTTCCCCGTCTGCATTTTTGCATACATTATTTTGGAGGACGGAGATGTTTTGCGGTTGCATCCTGGCTTCTTCTAAGGTATACACGGCGCATAAAATAGAAGACACATTAGGTGAGATGGACGTGCAGACATTTGAGATCCATTAGCCATTATTCTGTTCAGTATGTGCTATACCCGCATCTCCATTATAGTCTGATGTATTATACTCTCTATTTAGCCAGCCTGATCTCACTGCTTCACACTTGAGTCCTTGAGCTTTCCCTTTATTTGTGTCAGCTCCTCTCTCACTCCCCTCACTCAGGCCATAACCCACTTTCTCTCCATCTCCCTCTCCCTTCCTTCCTTCAGTTGTAGCTCTCTCTACCACAGAGTGAAGGTCAACATTGGGAGGCGGTCATCACTGCTGTGAATTGGGCAAGAAGTGAGCTTTTCCGAGCCCCTGCTCTGTTTGTACTGTGTCACCACTTAATCTGTTCCCAAGCCATGTCAACAGTGTCATTAGAGTCACAGCAGAGCTTGTTGTCTTTCTGCAGACGTTGGCCAAAGATAACATGAATCATTACCAGAAAATGACTTTAAAATAGCTTCTTTCTGAAAGGGCAGGGCTTAGTGATATGTGTTTTGATATTGTTATTGCATTATAGATAAAGTTATTTACTTGTATCAATATGATAGGGAAGGATGATGCGTGTAAGCATGTACTGATGTTCAAAGTGAAGAACCGTGTTTCTCTGTTGTGCTTGAGTTCTTTGTTACGTCTCTGCCTCTCAAATGTAATGAGTAGCTGCTCTTTTCTCTTTTTTATCTTTACAATATTTAATATCTTTTGGTTTTTGACTGTTGGTTTGGAGAAAACAAGCTGTGAGAGGACTTGTCAAGTAGGGCTCTGTGAGCTCATGATGAATGTTTTTTTGTTGTTGTTTTTTTTCGTTTCCTGACATTTTGTAGACAAAACAACTAATCAGTTATTCAGTAAAATAGCCAATGAATTAGACAGTAATGAAAACAATCAGAAGTTGCATCTGTAGATTCAGCCGAAAGTCAACATTACTACAACATAATTAGAATTTGGCGATGAGAAAGCTCATCATTGTAAGTTTTGATTTATTTATTTTTTAAGTGGCAACACGAGCCCTTTGGCCAGGAGACCTGAAAAAACAGTTGGGCTTCAGTGCGTAGTGTTAAAACTTGTCTCCCTCGTCTTCTTTTCTGCTTCACTGTTTCGAGCAGCAGTCACTTCCTGTGGCTAATCATACTTTGATATGCGGTGGCACGAACCCTGGCTCCCTCAGAAATGAACAAACAAGGTACCGGGGGGATCTTCAAGCGACCAGGGCTGTTGGTTTTTGTCTGCTCTGCTGCGATACATTCTCTGAACGCCCACTGTTTTTTCACGGCCTCTCTTTACATTAGACTCTGCCTCCCTGTGAAGAGGAAACTTGGACACGACTCAGAGAAAGAGAAGTGTGATTTTCTTCCACTGCACTCGCAGGGAGATTTAAGGCATCCTGTTAAGCTTAGCTGGAAGGCCTAGAGGGGGCAGAGATACCCGCCAGAATGCTGACCTTGATTACATTAAAGGGACAGTTATGTGAGCTTGATTTATTTATTTATAATTTTTTTCCGCTTTTGTACTACTGTGTGTACACGAATGATAACTTCAACGATCAAAGGATTATCTTTATGGAATCCTCTTAGAAATGATGTATGATGTGATCTGAATTTATCTCCAATCAGGCTGTGAAAAATCAATCATTATTGATTGTAATGCTGTCGGATGGAGAATAGTTAACTGTGCTGAGCATAGTTTAGCCACTCCTGTATTTTTAATGTTACCCCCCTATAATTAAAGCTTGGTTTATGGTGTTACTAATAAACCCTTTGATGGCATTATCAGATCTATTTTATGTCTGATTTGAGTCTGATGAGTCTTGATGGGTTTGGTGGTCACTGTTTAATGTCCTCGGGTTGAGAGGGGTGTGACTCTGCTCTAATGTGGTATCTAGGGTTTTATAAAGGGATGTGCGTGCACCTTGATAGCTCTCTAGTTTAATGGACAGAGCATTTCCATGCAAAGGTAATGATGCTCCGTCTCATTTTCTCCACCAGGCGTCCAAATGGAGAAATGATGTCTTTGTGACTAGCTCGCACGGTTCTCATGCTGAACCATGTACTTTTCACACTTGGCTTGATGGAGACTGACTAAAGGGCTGGTATATTAACATAGGTCTGCAGAGGGCTTGGATATGTATATTGAGCGTGATGAAGGGTTTTCTCCCAGAGTAAAGGATCCTATTGTTGCCAGGTCTGTCTGTCACTGTCATCCACTCCTCTGCTCTTGGATCATTTCCCTTCCATCAGCTTGTTTTTCTCCCTTCCCCTGCACTCCATTTTGGTCTCGATGCTGTGAGGATTTGAGGGAAATAGAAGGCGAGTGTCCCCGCGGGTGATGGCTTCACTTGTATGCAGTCGCACAGTCCTACTGGACTGAATTGGGAATTGGCTCGCCCCGAGGCTTTGTTGTCACTCACATTCTGCCTATTGATTGTGTGGAGGCTGCGGGAGCGGGTGATTTTTGTGTGTGTGTGTGTGTGTGTGTGTGTGTGTGTGTGTGTGTGTGTGTGTGTGTGTGTGTGTGTGTGTGTGTGTGTGTGTGTGTGTGTGTTCGTGTTTGTGAACACAGGGGTTAGGTGTGTGTATGTGTGTGTGTGTGTAGGGGGGGGAATTGGCAGCTCTTAGTTTGTGTAGGTGAGTGCAAGGACTACTTTGGTGTGAACTTTTGGAGTGTTGGCACTGGCAGTATACACACGTCTCCCACACAATGCTAAACCCACACAACACAAGAAAGTGATATGTCGTTTGTTCTATAGGAGCTGATGCTGTACTTTCAGATTTTAACACTATTTTTCTTCTGTCATTCTGTTTTTCTAGGTCAGGAGATTCGGTCCTGAGGGAATGGTGCTGGTGAGATGACCTGCGTGACCTCACTTTCCTCAAGAGATCATTCTCCAATCAAAAGAGTGGAGCAAAATCTAGTTGGTACATGGTTGGCAGGTTCACATGATGGACAGGTGATGGAGTCTTCCATCATCTTTCTCCACCAGTGACTCGGCCTGCCAGCCCTTCCTCTGAGGCATAAGTGTGTACCAGCGGTCCAAGGCCCCCTATTTCTCTGCCATGGTGACATAAGCAGCGCTGCAATATGAGGGAGAGCCAAAGTGAGACCGTCTCATTTCTTTCTCCAGTAGCTGCTGCAGCTGCTACCTTATCGCCGTTTGTATTTAGCTCCACAGCGAGACTGACTTTGTTGTGAATAATCCCTGCTCACCGTTTTCTACCCACACCGAGAGAGACTGCCCCCAAGGCGTGTTGCTGGGCCGGTGGGGCGGAGCGGTGTGGCGTGAGACGATGCTGGGATGCGTGACACGCCTCCGTCGGCTGGTCCGTCTCCTCCCCTTGCAGACCTCCCTCCTCCTCCTTTTCCTCTTCTGCACCGTCAGCGTCTTCATCTCTGCCTACTTCCTCTATGGCGTCAAGCGGGAGCTGGAGCCATCGGGAGGGGGCGTGTCCGGAGCCGAGGGTGCATCCGCCGACTCCGACGACCCGAGGGTCACTCCGTCCCGCCTGCTACCTCTGCGGAGCGTCTCAGGGGGCCCCGGGGTGGATCCCGGAGGGGCCAGGACAGATCCTGTGGTTCTGGTGTTTGTGGAAAGCCAGTATTCTCAACTGGGTCAGGAGATTGTGGCCATTTTGGAGTCTGGCCGGTTCAGGTACCGGACTGAGATCTCTCCCGGTAAAGGGGACATGCCCACATTGACAGACAAAGAGCGAGGGCGTTTCACGCTGGTGATTTATGAGAACATTCTCAAGTATGTAAACTTAGACGCCTGGAACCGAGAGCTGCTGGACAAATACTGTGTGGAATATGGAGTGGGCATCATTGGCTTCTTCAAGGTTAGGACAACAGCACACTCCCTCTGCCTCCCTCCCTCCTCTCCCTCCTCTCACTCACACCTTCTGCCCTGTCCATCTGGCTGCACCGTCTCTAAGGAGATAGGATTCACAGGGTTGGAAAGACCTGCCTGGTTCAATATCACTCAGTCCCACTGCACTGTATCTCTTATGTTCTGTCTCTCTCTTGTTTTTCTTTATTCTGCAATCTGGCCTCCTTCACTCTTCCTTGCTGAGTCTCTTGTTTCTCTTTCCTTGTTTTCTCTCCTTTGTTTTATTTTCTCTCGATATTCAGTCCACTCTCCTTCTATATCTCTCTTACTGTCTCTCTCCTCTCTCTCTCTCTCTCTCTTTCTCTCTCCCAGTAATCCTTAGCTGAGCCTGTTTGCCCAAGGCCAGTTTTCAGGTCTTATGGTTTTAATCACCATCTCTGAGCCATGAAAAGAATATAGAAAGATATGTGAAATGGTGGTGCAGAGATGTTAGGCAGTGTAGGTGAAGGTCAGGGAAGCCTGGCTGGATTTACCATCTATTGGGAAAGGAGGAAATAGAGTGAGGGCGTGCATCCTAATAACCTGGACACACAACATCACGCTGCTATCTGAACCCAACCGTTTGCAGTAGAGCCGGACTGATATCCACACAGTTGGCGGTTTATTAGGTACACCTAGCTCAAACTGTGGTTCTGGTATTTGTGAAAAGCTGGTATCCTCAACTTTTAGGTTATAATATTCAGGTTTTATTGAAACTGTTTCAGAGAGGTGTTGATTCAACTCTGGTGTAATCGTGGGGGATTGTGGTGCTGTTGAGCTGTATTACATTATTCCTATTATTTTTTCCATCCCATTTAATAACAGTAGGCTAAATAACAAAAACGACTCCCTCCCATAGGTAACATAAGTCACTCTGCAGGGTTACATACTTAGAAAAGTCTATAAATGAACTTGATTTGGTTGATGATGACGATTATTATTATTATTGCTATATTTACAAATACAACAATAGGATCTATGGGGACTAAACTAATAAGGAAAGGTTAAAGAAACTAAGATTATCTGTTGATGTATGCTGTCACCAGCACCCACACACGGTGGTGAAAGAACTAAGTAAAAGAGCAGGAGAAAGTAGGACCGTATATCTGTGGTCATAGGGATGTGAGAGAGTCAGAGAATGACAAATGTGGCAGGGAAAATTTCAATGAATAATCACCGAACCCTCAGTCTTTGGATTTTAGAGGGCACAGCAGGAGGTTATTCATTTTGACTGCAATCTTGGAGCATGGCAGATTGAGCATAGCAGGTAGAAGCTGCCTCATGCCTTCACATCTGAGTAGGCCTGACATTCCTTATTTCACACATGATTGGAGAAAATGGGGAATTATATCCAATCCATTGCTGTCTTCATCACTCTGGTGTATGATGAATCTGTGTCATTTCTCTCTCTTGTTTCTGTCTCTCTGTTGACCAGGCCAATGAAAACAGTCTGCTCAGCGCACAGCTGAAGGGCTTCCCCCTCTTTCTTCACTCTAACTTGGGTCTGAAGGACTGCACGGTCAACCCCAAGTCCCCCCTGCTCTTTATCACTCGGTCCGGGCAGCCCCTGCCGGGTCCTCTCCCTGGGGATGACTGGACCGTTTTCCAGTCCAACCACTCCACATACGAGCCCGTGTTGCTGGCCAAGACCCAGTCAGCTGAGAGCGTCGCATCGATGGGGCAGAACGCTGCTCTGCTCCCGTCTGTGGTGCAGGACCTGGGGCTCCACGACGGTATCCAGAGGGTCCTGTTCGGCAACAACTTGGTCTTCTGGCTGCACAAGCTGGTGTTTGTGGACGCTGTGGCCTTTCTGACAGGGAAGAGGCTCTCGTTGTCCCTGGAGCGCTACATCCTGGTGGATATAGATGACATCTTTGTGGGCAAAGAAGGCACACGCATGAAGGTGCCTGATGTAAAGGTGAGTTTTTGTGCACAACTTTGCATTTGGAGCGTTAGGAAAGTTATCAGAATAGAAACTGAACCCATTGATTTCGACAGCGCTTTGCAGAAAAATAAAAACTGCCTCACACATTGCATGTGCTATCCTCTGCCAGTCATACAGAAACCCCTTCTTCTCGCTCCTCTTCTCCTTTTGAATGCGTTCGTCCCAGTAGGCCGCTCAAAGCTGACAGGCCCCACTGCTCACACTGTCACAGAAGCTCCACAGCAATGAATATTTCAGGGGCCCAGACACATACAAAGAATGTTGAAAAGTTCCTTGCGCGCGTCCCCTCAAGAGCAGAACAGACCCCCCTCACATGTGGAGGCAGAGGGTATAAGAAAAAGTTATGGAAGAAGCATCAAGGCCTCCTCACTGGCAGCGCAACAGCAAGCTTTTAGGAACAAATCACACCCTGACAAGACGGAGAAATCTGAGAGAGTGAGAGAGGGTGTGCGCTGGGAGTCTCATCCAGCGTGGAGATCAAATGAAACAAACACCCGAATCAGAGGAGAGCAAAATATCAAACAGAATGAAGGAGAGGAGTGAGGCAACTGGGAGTGGATGTTGGATGTTTACCGAAAGAAACTTGCAGAATGAAATATGTATGCGGGCACGCATGCGCCGGGGTGTTCACGCTTTCCCCATTAATGCGCTCGTGTACCAGTACGAGCGCGCCATGTATTGACCCATCCTTCTTTTCCTATCACTGTTTCAGGCCCTGCTGGAAACACAGAGGGAGCTGCGCACCCATGTGCCCAACTTCACCTTCAATCTGGGCTTCTCAGGGAAATTCTTTCACGCTGGTAAGATGTGGCCCGTGAAGAGAACCTCTGCTGCTCTCTCAAGCAGAGAGACGAACATGCACTAAACTGAAAGAGAGAACACGCCCTGATGTCGATTAGATTCACGTTATTTTAATATCTCTACTCCTTTCCTGTTCCTTCATGTCCTGACTTTTTCTCCTGCCGCTCATCTCCCACATTCCTCGCCTCCTTTTCTCATCGCCGACCCCATTTCACCTTTTGTTTCTTCTTTGTCTTTGTCCATTTTTATCTTCTCCATTTCCTCTTTAACCTTCACGCCTGTTTTTTTTTCCTGTTAACCTCCCTCGTCCCCATCCCACCCCGCTCCCCGTCTGACTGTCCACCCTCTCTCCATCACATCCAGGCTCTGATGAGGAGGACCTGGGAGACGACCTGCTGCTTTCCTACGTGAAGGAGTTTTGGTGGTTTCCTCACATGTGGAGCCACATGCAGCCTCATCTATTCCACAACCAGTCCGTGCTGGCTGAGCAGATGTTGCTCAACAAGAAATTTGCCATGGTGAGTCACAGGGGCCAAAGGTCAGATCACAGCGTTGGGAGAGCACTGTGACCAGAGCTTTTTTTTTTTTTTTTTTTTTTTTTAAATCCCATTCTCCTTGTTCAGATAGGCAATCTTAGGCAAGGTGTTAATGCTGTTTTTTTTTTTTTACTGTAACTCGTAAGATTTCCGTCCGGGTTGTCCGCATGATCTAATACTACCGCAAACACAGTAGGTGTGACTGTTTACATTGCAGCCAAACAAATTCATATGGTTTTAATAACAAAGTTGAGGCACCAGCGATCTGTTTTCATGCTGCTCATGGTGTGAGTAGTTTTCCACGCAACAGCAGGTCACAGTGCAGTTGGTTACTTTGCTGAGGAGTTGGAGGTGTGTCGCCTGTCGCCTGCAGCTCTTCATATAACGGTTCACTGTGGATGCTCCTTCTTGTTCAATGGCTCGCTTGCACAAATTAAAAATGATACACTCAAAAAAAAAAACAAAAAAAAAAACAACGCTGAATATGACCATGTTTTTTCTTTTAGATGCATTTTTGATGAATGATCAATGTCATCCCAATATGTGGCATTGCATTTCCTGAGCCTGCTTCACAGTAAGAGCCAGTTGAACGCTGTGAAGCAGCAGCAGCTTAATACAGCTATGACATGGTGTAAAGACAGTAACCAGTGAGGTTGATATCAGTGAGATAAAATTACACAGAATTACATGCTGCATCATTTTCCAGTGGTTCCCTCATGCTTAAGCAGGGACTGTGAATTGAGCATGGGAGTGGTGGACTGCTAATGATAATTACATTGAGTGGTTATTGCAGAAAATGGCAATTATAAATTATATCTTAAAAAAAATCTGATGTCAGGAAAATATTCAGAGTTTTAACTTTAACATTGAGGAACTTAATGGGTTTTGCTCATCTGCTCTCTAAACTGTCACTCATGTATTTTCATCCTCCAGGAGCATGGGATCCCCACTAACATGGGCTACGCTGTGGCACCTCATCACTCAGGCGTCTACCCTGTCCACATGCAGCTGTACGACGCCTGGAAGAAGGTGTGGGGCATCAAGGTGACCAGCACAGAGGAGTACCCACACCTGAAGCCTGCTCGCTTCCGGCGAGGTTTCATCCATAGCGGCATTAGTGTAAGTCATCCATCCAGGCATCCATAAGGCCTCATTATCTTGTTACCTCTGGCCTGTTGCTTTCCCTCCACTTGGCTTCTCAACATCCATTACCTTTTCTGCCAGTAATCCCTTTCAGGGTTGTTTTTCACCATCTACATATGCTATCCTTGATTCATTATTTCTCCATCTCCACCTCCTCCAGTTCTTTTGTATTTATTCTTCTCTCAAGGCCAGCAGTTACTCTCCGTGCTGCATTTGTCCGTCATCCTCTGTTCCTTTTAGACTCTGCTTTTCTGAAGTCTTGTCTGCAAAGATGCCGAGCAGAATCTTATTTTCATTTACTCCATATCGCGGAGGCAACAGAAGTCCTGAGAAAGCCAATCATCTCATTAGTCTGGCTGGGCCGTTGTATTCGTCTACAGTGTGGGAGATGATGATGTTGTCAAGTGAACCCCTCTTGCATGAGACACCTATACCTAGCAGGCCCCAGCATCATAACAAGGACTGACATATCTGGCAACAGCATAGCACGTGTCTGCACACAACCAATCAGTGAAATGTCAACAAAAAATCCTGAACTTTATTCAGCTTCAGAGTGCTAGCTGGTGCTGAATAACGCAGAGACAAAATTAAAGTTGAATAGATTACATTCATGAGGTTCAAAAGAAAGAAAAATTCTTATCTATTTCTTTCCCAGGTTGACCTTCAGCACTGATAGGAAAGAGTGCAGCCTCAGTCCAGTTCCTTTGTAGTGTTGGCATTCAGTGGGCCCTGTGTGGTTTCAGCGCTCTATTCCTGTCCTTGAGATTGTGCTGTGCAGTCTGAATGGACAGTTTCCACTGCTTACTGATGATTGATATTCAGTTCCACAGACACTCCAAACTGTAAACGCATTTCCATGAATTTCCATATAGACTCAGAGTGAATAAGAGGTTTGCTTTGGCTAGATGAGCTGCATAATATGAATGTTATTGAAAGCAAACAATGTGTGGAGTAACTGCCTGGAGCACTGACAGCTCCGCTCCACTCTCAGCAGAGGGCTGATGGTGTCTGTGTGTTTATTTGAGAATACATTTCTTTGTGATTTTTTTCTTTTTTTCTTTTTTTTGCAATTTTGGTTTGGTGAATTTGTGCTTGTTTATATCACAGGTGCTGCCTAGGCAGACATGCGGCCTTTTCACACACACCATCTTCTATAAAGACTACCCTGGCAGTCCGAATGAACTGGACAAACTCATCAATGGAGGAGAACTCTTCCTCACTGTTCTGCTGAACCCTGTGAGTCAAATACACAAACACGCGGCGCAGCTTTTGTCTTGCACACTTGGAAACCCATTTAACTGGTGGTGTAAATTGAAATTTAAATGAGGGACGGGACAATGGCTCGTCAGTGACTCATGCTGTGATGTCTGCATTGTACTATCTCTTTTTACACTATTTTGAAAGCTTCTTTTATTGGAGCCGAAAATGCATTCTGGAAAAATTCCTCTTATTTGTCAACATGTTTTGTTGTCAGATGATAAAAAAGAGGTTAGAAAAGGTTTTATTATTTCCATTTGTGCAACAAATGTCACCCTGCAGGTAACTGTGTTCTTCTATGTCTGACTTTAACACACGTGTTTTCAGTGGCTCATTACTCATCATTCATTATACTGTATAGCCATACAAATGTTCAAGTCAAATTTTATGATGATTATTTTCATCGCCTTTTATTATTTTCTTGCTTGATGAATTCATTGTTTGTTTAGTTTATGAAATGTCAGAATAGAGCAAAAAATATTCATTATAATTCCCCGGAGCTCTAGGCGAACATCTTCCAGTGACTCGTTCTATCTGACCAACAGTTAGCATTTTGTTAGCATTTGATCATCAGACGTTCAGCATTTTCCGTTGATCTGCTAATCAGCTAATCGACTAATCGACTAATTGTTTCAGGTCTAGAAAAGTTCATATCATGGCACGTATATACAATAGTGCACACAGTGTGTATCGCTCATCCCTAATGTAGACCATACTTTCGCTGCTTGTTCCCTCCACCCACAGATCAGTATCTTCATGACCCACCTGTCCAACTATGGGAACGATCGCCTCGGCCTGTACACCTTTAAAAGCCTGGTGATGTTCGTCCAGACTTGGACTAACTTGAAGATGCAGACTCTGCCGCCTATTCAGCTGGCTCAGAAGTACTTCAGCCTGTTCCCTTCGGAGAGGGATCCCCTCTGGCAGGTGAGAAGAGGAGGCTGATGATGATCTCATTTATTTATATGTTTATCACGTTTCCTTTTTTATTTGTTTGGCACAAAAGCCAAAGTTTGCATTCGGTAGTCATTTTTTGACAGCAGTAATGGAATACTGCAATAACAACACAACATAGCTGACAGGTACTGTAAAAGAACACCTTGTTGTAACATGTCAAGTGGTATCCCTTTAAAATATTTCATTATACAGCAATAGCTTGAATCCTTTGCATACATACCGTATATAGACACAGTGTGTGGTACTGAACAATACATTGTTTTGTTGCTGGACCTTGTTACCCATCCTAAGGATTTAAGGTATCTCCTTTTGTTGTTGTGCCTGGACAACGTCCGAGTAAACAAAGGTCAACCCGGCTTTCTCTTGTATTCTTTAATTTACATATTTGTTTCGACTTTTGTTTGAACCGCACTTAAAAACAAAGGATTGTTTATCTTTCTGTGGCTACAGGATCCCTGCGAGGACAAAAGGCACAAGGACATCTGGTCCAAAGAGAAAACATGTGACCGCTTCCCCAAACTGCTTGTCATCGGGCCTCAAAAGACAGGTGAGACACAGTACTTCAACGCCCCCTACAGGACGGAGATGGAGATGGAAATTAAAATAAGTCTTATTCACTTCAGGACAGAAATCTCGAAAACTTGCTCTCAGTGGTTTGAATGAGGTTGTGATTATTTCTTTGAAAGTAGTAGTAGTGGTGGTAGACTGATTGTTGAGTGTAGAGCGAGAGTAATGGTTTGTTGTCTATGTATTATTGTTGTTGCCTTTTTTCACCGTGTGATAATCTTCACTGTACTGATGATAGAATATGCACTCCCTTAAACCTGCTCTTCTCTGTCTTTTATCTTCTCCCTCTTTTCTACACCACTCGTTCTTTCTTTGCCCTCTCAGGGACAACAGCGCTGTACCTGTTTCTCGGCATGCACCCTGACCTGACCAGTAACTACCCCAGCAAGGAGACCTTTGAAGAGATCCAGTTCTTCAATGGACACAACTACCACAGAGGCATCGACTGGTAAGAAACCTCCCAGCCACTTCAGTGCTGGGGCAGCAGTAAGCAATCAGCTACACTTACCAAGTGTAGTTATAATGAGAAATGTTACCATTACATCAATTAATGCTCGTATCGTTTCCCGCAGTTTAAACGTTCATTTAATTTGGAGTTCAGTCACTCTCTTCATTAACTTTTTGGCCATTAACGTCTTTTGTTTAAGTATATAACCAGATGGCATTGCAGCTGAAAAGTTTGGCTTCCTCTGATCACTCGTAATGTTTGAAAATTTGTAATTAGTGTGTTAGAACAGATGCTTTGTTTGAGTGCAATGAATAGTTGTCATTGTAGTTGTAATGAACATGCATTTAGCACATTGTTGCAGTATAACTTCAGTCTAGGAAACCTCTAGATCTAGAATCATGTTTTTTTCCATATCTACATATGGGAATTCAGGTGACGTGTTCAAGGCATGTAAATTTACAAAAACATGAAATAACGGAAAAAAACATAATAGTTAATCTGTGAGTTGGCATGTTTCTGTTTTAAAGAAATTGACATAAAGAATCAACCCCACGCCACAACTCATCCGCTTATTAGTGACAGTCCTGAGAGCGAGACCAGCAACACCTCTTTAGATAAACACCTCTTTAGTTAGAAATCCACTGTTTTGACTTTCCTGTAGGTTTAATTGATTTGAAACCTGCATCAGTGACAAACTTTGCGCATCACAGCACCTGAAGAGAGTCCAACACAAAAAATTACTTGGCAGGCGGGACAGTTCTGTGAGTGGGCTGCCCAAATATTAACATTGTACGGTGTTGCTAGATGTATTTTGTATGTGTGGTGCCAAGCTGTTGCACATGGCTGATCACCCACACAGGGAACAGAGAAATTATCCTTATCTGCAGAGAGCAAATTGGACCAGATCAACTGTGGCTGCTTGTAACACTTTGTATGTTTGTGTTTGCTGTGTGTGTGTGTTAGGTATATGGAGTACTTCCCTCTGCCCTCCAACACTAGTTCAGACTACTACTTTGAGAAGAGTGCCAACTACTTTGACTCTGAGGTGGCTGCTCAGAGGGCTGCAGCTCTCCTGCCCAAAGCCAAGATCATCACCATCCTCATCAACCCAGCAGACAGAGCTTACTCTTGGTACCAGGTAAAGTGCCTTGTGTTAACTCCTCTGTTAGTCTCTGCACGTGCACCTTTTAAATAAAAATCTATTCATATAAGTAAGAATTGATTTTAGATGTCTCCTCACATCTCTGTCTGCCCACAGCACCAAAGAGCCCACGATGATCCAGTAGCGTTGAAGTACTCCTTCCATGACGTCATCACCGCAGGCCACGACGCTCCAGTCAAACTACGGGTCCTCCAGAATCGCTGTCTGGTGCCAGGCTGGTACGCCATTCACCTGGAGCGCTGGCTCAACTACTACCACTCCAGCCAGGTACACTGTGTGTTTTTATGGACGTAGCAAAGTTTGGGGCAAAGGAGTTGTAGTACTAAATAGAAAGTTTGTCATTTTGAACCAGGAATATTTTTTAATAAGTTCAGTTTGTATAGTTATTGTGATAATAGATTGAAGTTGTTTCACAGGTTTTACATACACAACTTGTTCCTGTTCTGACATGTGCTACTGTTTGTGTCTCACGCAGTTGTTAGTCTTAGATGGACAGATGCTGAAGACTGAGCCCGCCTCAGTCATGGATAAAATCCAGAAGTTTTTAAGCCTCGCCAATATCATCAACTACCACAAGATCCTAGCGTGAGTGTCCTCCTACACTTTAAATCACTCGCAGTATCGCTTCTTCAGCTGCCACATTTACAAATGAATGTACAGATTTATTTATAGACGTCACAGGTTTTGTTAGCTGTTGTTTGGAGCTGGTAGATGCTTGACACTTTTTTACATGGCTATACAACGAAACCTGTTCCAAGCAAGTTGAGTTTCATGTGTGCAGCAGATCAGACAAGGCAGACATCAACAGCTTTACCCTATTTACCTGGCATAAATTATTTGTTGCTCCTGTTTTTGTTCTTTGAATAAGTAATTAGCTGCAAGTCTCTCTCTTAAATTGTCTTGTGAACGAACTGCAGGAGGGTGGTAATTCATCACCATATATATAATTTATTCTTGTTTATGTACAGGTTCGATCCTAAGAAAGGTTTCTGGTGTCAGCTGCTGGAGGGTGGGAAGACAAAGTGTTTGGGAAAGAGTAAAGGGCGCAGGTACCCTGACATGGACGCTGAGGTATGATCCATTGCAAGATAAATGTTACTATCTTTCGATATTTTAATTATATGTTGTTTCTTTGCTTTACTTTTGATTATATATTTTTTTCTGATTTCATCTTACCTCTTTCTCTCTTTCAGTCCCAGGGGTTCCTCAGGGAATACTATAGGGATCACAACATCGAGCTGTCGAAGCTGCTCTACAGGATGGGTCAGCCGCTGCCCAGTTGGCTCAGAGAGGAGCTGGTCCACACCAGGTAGCAGCACCACAGCAGGAGAACACAGCTCTATACACTGAACCACTGCTTGACCCTGCTGGGGGACACCGGACAAGTGGCCCGAAATGTTGAAGGTCCCAAATAGTTTTGAAAGAAACATACCGAGATATGAGGATGGGACGCCTAACTCGAACTCAACACTCTACTGTGATATTCCCAAATGAACAGGGCGACAGTGGATGGTGGGCAAGAAGAGAGCGTAGTTGCTTCCAGCAGCTGAGAGCTCGCCCCTCTCTACCTGAGGTTTGAAATGCCAATGCTCTGATGATGGCCGCCACTGTGCCCTGAAGAAGGAAGAGGAGGAGGAGGAGGAGGAGGAGGAAGGAAGGCTCAGTGATGCACAGGAGGGACCCTCAGTGTTTGATAATCACACCCCTGCTCTTCGTAATCAGACCTCCTCTTCTTCGCATGAACTTCATTCTGAAAATCAAAGAAATGGAAAAAAAAACAAAACAAAACAAAAAAACTCTGAAGCTTGAGCAGTCGTCACACTTTCAGCTCTGGAAAACGGGTGAAAAAGGACAAACACAAAATCACCTGTGTCTCCAGCTATGAGTTGTTGTGTTTGGAGCACATTGAAACAGGCAACATAACATTGACTGAATGGATGACAGCCTGATTGATTAGAGAGACATTGGTTGCAAATGCCTTTGAGATATATATATATATATATATATATATATATATATATATATATATATATATATATGTTTTTATGGGAGGAGAATGGGACATCTGGCATCTTGACTCAGGCTGCATGTTGTAGCCTTACTTGATAGGCCTTGGTAGAATCTAGTTATCACATTTACAAGTGCCAGGACAGAATCTCATTAAACTATTACCACATGGACTTTTGAGGGTTTTTTTTGTTTTTGTTTTTGTTTTTTTTGTTTGTTTGTTTTTTTAGAAGTTTTATGTTTTGTTTCCTTTTACTTGGATTTTGTTTTAACATTTCTGTAATGCTGATGGCAATGCATTATTGTAGAATGTACCAAAACTAAAACACCTTAGCTCAGTTGTCTCATATAGGCCAGATGTACAGTTCAGTTAGTTCAACTGTTCGGCTCAGCCTCCTCTTTAGGCAGTTCCACGACCAATGAACTGACTAAAGCAGGAGCCGTAGGATAGATGTTGAAAGCACAATATTTAAGGCACTCAAGTGAACATCGATTCTGAGCATACAGGTTACTGGAAAGCACACTAACAAAACGGCTCCCTACTACAATCTGTGAAGAAGATCATAAGCTAGCTACTGTATGTTTAATGAAGCACTCTGGTTCGAGAGATTCAGATGGTGTACAGAACAAGATTGTTCATTTCAAAATCTGTTTTCAGCATTGGGTTTTTGTCAAAACTGTATATTTTGTCTCATATTTTGTTTCATTTCATTCAGTAGATGAGTTGTTTAAGTTTGGGGGTTGGGCGGGGGGGGGGGGCTGTCTCTGGGAAAAACGTGTAAAGTTGCCAGGCAAACCAACAGTATGCCCATACAGACGTTCGGTTGTCGGTCAAGGTGTTACCACTGCAACTAGATGTCAAGCATAGATAACAAAAAGCTGCTCTTATTGCAATAGTTTTGTACAATGTTCTGATGTGATAACAATGCACATGTTGGTCCTTTATTTCCTGACTTTGTAATGTACATAATAAGCAACCCTCAGTAGACCTAAATTATTGAATGTGTTTGGGTTTACACTCTCCATCAGCCCATTCCTATAGTGTGAAATGTCAGTGCTGTACTGAGGGGAGTTTGGATAATTTCATCGTGCGGAGATGTGTCGCTAAGATTGTTTCCTCTCATGTCCTCTCACTGCCAACTATTGTACAGAGGTACTGAGTCTCTCCATATAAAGTATTAAGTGATAACACATAACAGCAACGATGGTACTAATCTCCTGGACTGTATGATAAAGATTTGTAATTGTTGTCAATAATTTTTACAGTGTAACTAATATTGTCGGTGCTTTTTAATTTGCAAATAAAACACCACTGTATTTTTCAGTAGTTGGATCTTTTTTCCCTCTTTTCACAGTCACATTTGAGCAAACTCGCCTCTATTGAATGATATTGAACTGATGGCCACTCTGAATTCAGAGCCAGCATGATGACGGTGGCTGATTTGGTGCAGAGATTTCTAGAAATCTGTCAGTTTCTTGTTACTTGCTTGACTGCTTTGTCTTTTGGTTTCACTTCATGGGGAGGTGCTTTTGAGAAGAAAACGTTCTGAATCTCTCAAAATCACATGAAGCATCAGCCTGTTCAACAACAACATCAACTTAAGATATTTTTTTATTAAATTTATCCTTCTGATGTTTAACACAACTCAGAGTAGATGTAACATGTGGCTCATGTTTGTTCATTTTAATTCCTTGTTGAGAAAATAAGGAATTAAATCCTCTGTTGTTCTAGGAAGTAAACAGTGGCCAAATAAAGATGGAATTGCTGTATTTAGAAATATTAGAAAAAAGACGTTAAGGCACTTACTACGACTCACATGTTCTCATGGTTACTACTAACAAATATTTCAGAACTGAATTTCAGTAATATTAATAAATATTACATTATTTATAACTTATTATTATTAGAGGTAGTAGTACTTTTATTGTTTGCTTATTTCTTTTCCCTGTAAAACACTTTTGGCACAAACTGCCACAAAGAAGAAAAGTAATATACATATAAAGTTTACTATAATAAGTATTTACCAGTACAATACATCTAAATTATAAAGCATATTTTTTTCAATACAAAATAATTAAATATATGGGAGTTTTAAACCTACATTTACAAGTTCATCGGACAGACAATATTATCTTAGAATTAGTACAGACGATAGATAAAATATTAGGCTGAAAATACAGACTGTAGATGAACTCCTGCTCCTTTCACTATTGTCTGCCTCTGTCAACAAGTGATGGTGTTATAATCTGACCAATCAGAATTCACGCCCGCTCAGAGCTCCACCAAGCCAACCCACAGGGCTTTAAAGAGAGGGACTTTCCGAATCCCTTCACCTTTCTCAGGAACCTGTCTGATGCTCCTTCCTCATTTTCAAGGCAATTTATCTGTTTGACCTGTCCAGCTTTGTCCAGTTTGTTGCTTTGAAGAAGCCGAGAGTTACAGATGGCCCACAATCCAGAAGATGCTCCCCTGGCCAGAGGGAGTCTGGCAGACAGTGAAGAGATCCTGATTGCCCCTGCAGGACCTGGAGGGTAAGAGGAACTTATCATAAACAACAGCTGTTTGCCCACTAGTAGCTCCCAAATATATTTGCTAATAAAGCAATGATTTGCATCATTTTCTTTAAATAGTTGATCAAGAAATGAAAAAAGATCACAATTACAATTTTTGCACCTCTAGTTAGAATAAAAACACACAACTTTTTTCAATGGATGATTAACATTGTGCTTATATGTAATTTTAATCTTAAATTGCATACCATGTTTTTTTCATTTTCAGTTTCTCTTTGACAGACAAGTTCTGAAGTAGAAGTATTTGTGTTATTCTGTTGCAACTATTTATATGTTTCAAACATTTTTACTTTTAGTACAAACATAAACCATCTTCATTAACCTGCAATAGAGTGTCCACTTCCCTTTGCACCAGGAGAAAGTGTCTGCCTAGTAACTAATGATGTCATCCTATAATTAACCACAGCAAAAAACTCATAATTCTTTCATATCAATGTTGATTATTTGACATTAGAAATATTAATATATAAGTGTTACAACTTAACAATGTCTCTACATGTATTTGTTAAGAGTTAGTTTTGATGGTAAACAAAACTTGTTTCCCTTCCAATAATGACTATATCATTCTTATGGAAGTTGATCTGTGATTTTAATCATTTTCTCTTGGAATAAATAGAACTAACTCACTCACTTCATAATAAATAGCACATTGTTTACACGTAGAACATAGACATACATGGATTTCTGGGTTGAATTTTCGCTTTTCAATGAAGCAAAACTGTTTATGAAATAAGCGAATGACCGTTGTTGTGGCTGAACGTTTTTATGGGAGAAAAATCAATTTATATCTGTTTACACGTATTAAGAAGCTCTAAATTTTACCTGTATATGTACTTCCCTATAACACCAGCAGAAGACATCTGCCTAGTAACTAGTGATGCTCACATTCTATTGGCTGATTATGAGTAGAAAAAAAAAAGAAATACTGCATTCCTGTCTCAGACCTTTTATTATTTTATGAAATATTATAACAACTTCTTTGTTTTTATGTTTGTATAAATGGGCCTTTTTGTGTGTGCTGGACTTTTTCACATCAGTATGAAAAAAAATCACCCAGGCTTTGAAAATTCCACACACAGCACTTTTGGAAACCCCCCCCCCCCCCCCCACCTGTTATTAATAACATGAAATGTTTTGTAAAAGTTAAAATCCTACTTTTAGTCTCTCGGTTTTGTTGTGTGATTTTGTTTCCCTCCCCCACACTTGTTATCAAATCTCCCCTACTGCGTCATCCTCTTCAAGTGACATTTTATTCTCTATTACTCCCTCAGGAGCTCCAACAGCCGTGCTTTGAAAGTGGCAGGCCTGACAACCCTAGCATGCTTGCTGCTGGCCAGCCAGGTCTTCACCGCCTACATGGTGTTCAACCAGAAGCAGCAGATTCACACTCTGCAGAAGAATTCGGAGAGAATTGGCAAACAGCTGACCCGCTCATCCAAGGGTAAAAGAGGGCATTAAAGTCCTAACGGTCAGACATAGCAGTAGTCCAGTAGAGAGGTGTCATTATCAGCAATAGTCATCATCAGACCAGTAGGGAGGGGGAGGAGGCTGTTGGGATGAAGAGGTGGACAAGGAAGTGAGACTTTGCTTAACGGAACTTGATCTGAAAGTCAGACAATAAACAGGAAAGTTTCACTGGTGATTCAGACGGGAAGAGGTCAGCTGTGTGACATCTTTATGTAAATCTTACTGTTATAAGATCTCAATGTGTTATATGAAGTTCCCATTATACTGTATATTATCTAGCATAGCTGAATCTGTTCATGGCAAGTTTAAACAAAGAAAAATTCTCATTCTCCCCTTTCTTTTTTTTTTATTTTTATCAAACTATTAATTATTTTTTTGTTTGTTTTGTTTTCAGCTGTGGCTCCTGCTAGGATGTCGATGCCCATGAACAGCCTGCCTCTGCTGATGGATTACACTGTGGATGAGGACTCGAAGACACCCTTGACAGTGAGTTTTCACCTGCAGTGAAGATTTTCCATTTAACTGTACCTAGGTGGCCTCGGACTTGTTAAAGACTAACCCTAACCAAATTTTGTCCTGGATGGTGCATAATGAATGCTTTAACATGAAAGTTGTACCATAAATGTCAATATAAATGTAAATAAACACTGAATTATTTGACTTCTCTGTTCTCTCCCATCAGAAACTGCAGGACACTGCTATTGTCAGTGTGGAGCAGCAGCTGAAGGATCTCTTGCTGGTATGTTTTGCGCTCAGTTTCCTCACATTGCTGATGTTGTGTATTGATGCACTGTTGTCACTAAGCTCTGGTCTTGCTTTGAGCAGGATTCCCAGCTGCCCCAGTTCAACGAGACCTTCCAGGTCAACATGCAGAGCCTGAAGCAGCGGATGAATGACAGCGAGGAGTGGAAGGTGAAGCCTCACACTCACTCAAATGCAAACCAATAAAACTGATATAGGAATGAATAAAATTAAATTATCTTGTCATTTTGCACTCCGCAGAGCCTGGAGTCCTGGATGCGTAACTGGCTCATCTTCCAGATGGCCCAACAGAAGCCTGCAGCCCCCACATCTGAGCCAGGTTTCTGCCACTTTCTTTCCTTTACATTTGTGTATTGAGCTGATGTTCGTATCCAGACTTGTGGCTCTGTGACAGTAGATGTTACGTTTCTAGTAGCCAGCAGAAGGGGTGTTTAAGGACCGACCATGGTTGTACTACATTACTGTGACAATATTAGTGTAATATTGGGAGTTTACAAGAGAGATACCAGTGGCTTGTTCACATTTTTTCTCAATTGCTTTGATGCAGTCCAGTTATGAGAAACATCATTCTCACAACTCTTAATGCAGTTCTCAAAACAGACATTCCTCATGACACTAACTGGCCTGTGCAAAAGCATTTAGAACTACTAAAACCTTGTTCACGTGTTGAAACATGCAAAGTCAGTTGATTACGTCAACATTGTCACCAATGAATAAAACCCTTTCACCAGTGCTTTAAGACTTAGACGCCAGATGTTTTGATATTTGTAATGTAGAGTGAAAAACAATGAATTGTGAATGATTTATTTGTAAATTCACACAGTATAATTGCTGTAGTGAGGGAAGCAAAATGATAAACATGGAACTATGCATTGGAAAATAGACAAAGAAAAATATGCAATCAAACGAACATAGCACCAATTACAGCACAGTAAAAGTCCGTATTACACATGCCACAGCAGAACATGTCACCTAAGGCTGCACCATACAAATGCTTCCATACATATTTGTGTGTAATTATTGTGGTGCGGTGACATTCACCTGTGATACAAGATTGAGGACATGCGTTTCTCTTTGTTGATCCTGTTCTGAGCGCATGTGATTACATTTGTTTTCAACTGAAGGGTAATTTTACTTAATACCAGTGACGGTGTGTGACTGTCCTTAGTCTGTCATACATATTTTAAGAAAGTTTAAAGTGATTTGATTGAAAACACTAACGCAATGCAGGACAGTATCGAGGTGAATGTGACATCTGTAATTCTATCTGTATATCTGTATCCTACCTGTTTGCATGAGTTGTCAGATGAGAATGACGTTTCTGATGTGAATTGCATCAGTGACTAAACATAAGGCTATAGCCAGCAGCTGGTTATCTTAGCTTAGGATAAAGACTGGAAACATTCAAACTATTGCTTTAACTCCATCCTTTCCTCCATTGCTAAATACGTATTGTTACTGTGCCATCACCAGTAATTAACACCAAACTGGTCATTAATGTCCCAATGTTCTCTTCTCTTTTCTTTCCCAGTCACTGTGATCAAGACCAAATGTCAGACCGAGGCAGCAGCCGGACCCGGCAAGATCGGTTCCTACAAGCCCCAGTGTGACAAGCAGGGCAACTACTTGCCCATGCAGTGCTGGTACCCCACTGGCTTCTGCTGGTGTGTGGACCAGTCCGGCACTGTCATTGAGGGCACCACCATGCGTGGGCGCCCCGACTGTCAGGGAGGTAGAGGTAGGTAGATTAAAGGCCTTTGGATTCAACACTGCATCTGTTGCTTTTCATGTGAGGCTTTCCTAAACAATGAAAGTAACTTTTGCCCTTTTTTTCTGCTGTTCAGCTCCTCGCCGCATGATGATCGCACCCAGGCTGATGCAGAAGACCATCGCTGTTGATGGTGAGACCCTCAAAAGTTATTGTTTAAATACTAGACCTCTGAGTAATTTGATAAAGTTCTATGTTTATTCTCAAGCATTTGCTGGTTGCTACACATAATCATATGTTGTGTTTTTCTTTTTTCCAGAAAATTAAAACAAATGAAGCAAAATCCGAAGCAAGGTGTTTCTTTTCATCACGCAATCTCAAGCAGACATTTTAAGCTGGATACAGCCCCACGTACAATAATGGTTTTGAAGCCTGATCACTTTTCCTTACATGTAATCTGTTGATTGTAACTGCTCTGCTGGCTGCTTAAAATCAAATTAATAGAGGCCTGTTACACTGTATTGCTTTTAGTCTTTGTAATTTTTGTCTTTTAATTTTGGGGTGTTCTCATTGAAATAAGATATTCATATATCCACAGTTTAAAGTATGTGAGTGTTTGTTTCTGCAGAGTGTTTAAAGGGTTGGTTCACTCAAATTACAACAAAAAAAATGTCTCCATTCACTCCACTAGCATGGAGGTACTTCTGGTTTTGCTTCTCCTCTAGTTTTGTTTATGGTGCATAGAACATTGAAAAATGACTTAAAAAACTGTTAGCAGCAACGACTCTCTCAAGAGACAATGTCTGCGGTTACTCTTATAATCCACAGACCTCACAGGGGACAGTTTTCATGGGCACCATTTCCAATAAAAGTAATTCCAATAAAAACTGTCCACAGTGTGTTCTGTGAATTATTTGGGGTAATGAGGACACTGTTTCTTGAAAGAGGTGTTGCTGTTTAAATTTCTAAATGTTCCTCAGTGTGAGCACCACAAATAAAAACCTGGCCAAATAAAACCAAAGCTATCTGCATGGTTACATTCCATGAGAGTTAAGTGAGTTTACCTTTTTTTTTTTCTTTTTTTTCCTTTAGTAATTTGGGTGATTTGAACCTTTAAAGGATGTGCAAGTTTTCTATGAAGGTATTTGTGTTAAGAAGGCTAAATAAAGTTTTCCTAACAACATTGTTTGCATTATTATACATATATGTTCAACTGCAGTCATGTTGTCTTGAGATGAAATGTTTGTCAAAGCTATGGAGTAAACAAGGCCTGAATAAAATTTAACCTGATTAGATGCATTGATGCTGCTCACTCAGTCGTGGACTTTCTGGCATCTGTTTCTGGTTTTAAGTTTCCTTTTTCATTGATTCATTTCGTCTTTCCCCATGTATGTTTTAAGAGCATCATTGAGGAGAGACAGAGAGACAAAAGATGTAAAGCCAAGAAGCTGGCAGTTTAAAATGAGGTCATGCTTGTCATTAAATAATCATCAAATTAAATTAACAGGATCTGAGAAGCCCAGCAGAAAACCATGTTGGTTTCTGTCCCAGCTGAAGCCCTCAGCGGCCATTTCACAGTCCTCAGAGCTGCTGGTGGGAGCATCATGTTAGTTGCTCAGATTCGAGGGATGCATATCTGCCAGCTTCATTTAGATTGATGGTGAAGTGTTGATTCCTCCTGCTCTCCCCAGGGGCGATGACAGACGAAGATCAGACTGGTAGGAATATTTCAGGGGATTTTCAGTCCTGTGTGGAGAAAATGTACAGTACGTCCCAGAACACAGATCTCTGTCTTCTTTTAGAAGTGAGAGGGAAAGGAAGGGAAGTGCCAACAGCACAGAAAAAGAAATTCAGAAGTCAGTTGAGAATAAAAACTGAAGCCATTCACAGATATAAACACCTCTTGTGAGAAATGGTCATCTACAGGGATACGTGCTTGACTTGAAGCTGGTTGGATAATAGATAGATAGATATAACTCTCAATAACCCACCACAGACCCTGAAGTGGTTGGAGTTCTTCTCCCCTCTGTGGTTATCCTGTCTCAACTCCAGGAAATAAGGGTTGACAGTAACCAGCTTGAGCACGGGGGAGCAGCTTGATATTCTGCATGCAGAGAGGAACCTCTATCAATGTGACCAGGCCATAAAAGAGACCTCTCATCCCCCCTGAACAACACATACATACACACATACACTGTGTCTGTGGAGGACAGGCCTGGAGAGTGTGTGTGACACACCTGTGGCCCAGCAGGGGATTCAGATGATGAATCTATGTTTGGAGAGGAGTGTGTGGACCCTAGAGTGGAACACAACAGCACAGCTCTTCTCTCCGTTTGATGCATGTATTGGCTTACCGTCATTCATGATTTATTTTTCTTAATGTTCGCCTTTCTACCACTTTCTAACGAGGCATCCTTTATAAAGAGTTTATGAGGGGTAAGTAATGGCTGGATTAATGGTCAATAAATCATTCACTAAAGGTTATTGATCATTTATAAGACGTTTATAGGAACAACTTTTAGGGTGCCAGGTTGTGAAAAATCCCTTTGGCTAATTGGTTTGTATGACCACTTACCCGCTGACAGAGGGCTGCAGAGGATATAGACCAAAGTCTATTAAGAACTTTTTAATCAGGCAAAGGGATTTTCACAACCTATAGCAACTGAAATGTGTCTTATTAATGGCTTATTAAACTTCTAACCCCCTTTTAAAGGTTGTCTCACTAGGAAGTGGTACCTTTGTTGGTAATAAGACGAATAGAGGATAAATGTTTCTAATAACACTGTTATTAATTCATTGTTTAATACTGGTAAATGTTTGAATATCTACATGATGTACGCTGAATGATCTCATAAAGCTGAGAAAGTCACACTTGTTAGTGAAGTTATATCAGCCTGACCTCTTAATGTTCCACGTCCCAAAACAACACAATAAAGATATTTGAAGGAAATTATTTTAAAATCATTATTGCTCAACAATAACCCCAGATGTGACCTTTCTGTCCATCTTTGTAACTGTACCCTGATCAGACCAGCGAAAGTGGATTCTGGCTCATTAATAATTCAGCCTATGTGTAATGAAATCCAGGTGACCCAGTGGCTATGGCAGACATAAGCGGTGGATGGCCACTGTGAACATGAATGCACTTGTAAGTACCTTTTTTTGTGATAGTGTGACACAATGTGTAATGACTGAATATACTGTAATTTAAGGGAATGGAGAGCATCGTGTTTTTTATGTCTTTTGTAATCTCTCTGACTTGATCCTCATACAGATGTGTGAGGGAGCTGAAGCAGTAAGAGTGGGAGTCGTGCTTACTACAATATCAGGTACAGCAAGGATATAAATGACAAAAATATCAAATCTGTAAATTTGCTGTTGCTGGAGATTCGCCTTTAAATGTCTTTTTTGTACACTCAGATGACTGTGCAGTTATTAGTGAAGATGGGCATGGTGTGAACTACACATCAGGAAAGTATAAGGTAGAACATTTACATTTACTCACTGTCACCAATCAGCATTCGATCATTTGTTCTCCGCGAGCTCTCACTCTCATTGTTTTCCAATCAGGAAACCAAGTCCTTCTCCTTTGACCAAGCGGTGAATGTTGATAACATACAGGTACAAAGGAGCAGCTGACCTTATTTGAACCGCTACACAAATTCTCTTTACACCTTATCGGTACAAAATATTGCGATGTCTGCAAACTCAAAGTCTGAATATATATCTGCAGAGTTTCCACCCTGAGCTCCTGCAGCCTCTCTCTGAGTCCATATCCTGTGGTTATAATGGAGCTCTGCTGACATGTGGAGCCTCCACAGAGGAGATCTGCACACTGATCGACCACAGTGTCATCAAACAGGTAGACCACACTACACTTAATATTGGCAGATTTGATGCTTTAATTAAATTAAATTAACCTTACCCTTGACTCTGTTTTAGCTCCTGGGAAATCTGTTTAGTCGCATGTTGTCACAAGTGAGGAAGGAGTTGTTCATCTCTGTGTCGTTCCTTCAGGTTTGTCCTTGTATAAAAGATCATAACCATAAATCATATGAGACACAGTGTGGTGCAGAATGACCTCTGATGTTTCTCAATGTCAGTTTTATCCAGATGGCAGTGCTGTGGATTTGCTGAGCCCAAACAGACAGACTCTAAAACTTGTCACACACCCAGTCCTTGGAAGGTGAGTCCAATGATGACTACTGATGTACAGTATCAAGATAGATACAATAAACAACAAATACATATTGAGATGGATTATCAATGGAACACTTACACCCCACATGTACATTCAAGTGTATAAAATGTGACCCATATGTTTTCTGTCCCAGTCTTGTAGGAGGTTTATGTGAGGTGTGTGTGTGTTCAGAAGAGGAAGCCTATGCTGTGTATGAAACATGCAGGGAGAGACTGAATGCCAGCGCAGGCTCCATTTCCAGCAGGCAGGTCAAATAAACTCTGACCATATAATCCACTAACTGAATTACTTTGAATTGGGTTAATTACAATGGTTGATCGCAATAGAGCCAAGTGTCTTACTGTCGCCTGAGTGACTGGATTGTCACGCAGCAGATTGTCACGCAGCAGATTTAACTCTGTGTTTTCTGATCAGGTTGTTGCACATGGTGTCATTCACGTCGCCCTTTTCCAGAAACGTATGAATGAATGAATATCTCATCGTCTCTACATGGTGTGTGCTTCCTTCAGATGTAGTTTCCTGTTCTCAGTGGCTGTTGAGTGGAAACTTGATCCAGAGGAGGTGGAGTCAGAGGTCTGCCGCAGCAGACTGCAGCTGTTCAGCCTGGCAGGAGGAGCCAGCAGGAATGACCTCAGAGGGTCAGTCGTATACTCAAATACAGTGAGCTGTCTATTGCAATACCTGATATCTGGATTGGTCATTTATTTAGCTCTGTCCTGTGCACTGGTAACATTGTAACATTTAGTGTGTTAAGTACTCATTGCAGTCTTGCACAGCAATCACTTAAGAGGACCACTTTGTAATCAGACGAACCTTGTTAGAGGTTAATAAGGTGTTAATAACTGCCCCAGACCACTGTCATGTTAAAGTTATTAGTAACACCTGTGCTTTTCCTGCTATGACAAGTCAAAATGTCTCCTGTGAAGACGGTCTGTTCCTCAAGTCAGATAAGCAATGAGGACAACCTTGTTTCCAATGTGAACAGATCAAAGTGATCGCAAGATCTTCTGCCATGCGAGGACCTTATTTCATTAAAATTTGATGTACTATAACAATCACTTAAATGAGCCTAGCAGCTTCATGCAACATTAAAATAAAAAATAAAAAATAAATCATTCTCAGTTCTCACAATACACCCTGTGTACCAAATCCATACTGCATATTAATTCTAAGCTGTTTTTGAATATATTGTGTATTCAAATTGGAAAAGTGCCAAAAGGAGTTATACTCAAAACAGCTAATATGCATACTAAAAAAGAGCCTTGAATTACTTTCCCGCAATACAACACACAAAGGAAAAGGAGGCAGAAAATATTAAAGCTAATTATGAATGGTGGTGAAACACCTGTAGTTACACATTGGAAAACAGAAAATTACAACTAAACCTTTGGGGAAAAAATATGTTTGTGTAGTTGACAGTGGCACTCTAAAGTTGCAGTTTCATTGCCTTCGCATGGTGCACATATTGGTAGCAGCATTGTTTTTTTTATCCATAACATGTGTCAGACTCAGTGGTAACAGCTGAATATTCTCCAGAGTCAGCCCACTGGTGAAGGCTGTGGATCAAATCCCACATGGAACCACAACAACTGACAAGCTCCTTCCTTTCCTCCTACATGATGCCTTGATAGGAAACAGTAGGACGGTCCTCATCTACTGTATTAACCCTAAGGGTAAGTGGTCCTCTGCCCCCAACCACAACAACTCAACAGTGTTAAACTGATGTGAAACTGACTCTCCTCCTCACCCATCAGGTCTTCTAGATGATGAGACCCCTTCTGCCTTAGCTTTGGCCCAGAAAGTGAGAGGTTTTGTAACTAAAACCAGTGTTGGTCACTGGTGTCCAAGGGCAACCGAACAAGAGATCCGCGATAAGATCATGGATCTCCAAACCCTAATGATGTCACAGGGGGAAAGTGAAGTTCACAACACCTACAGGCTGGCGGAGCTGACTCAAAACCTGCAGGTAACTGTTTAAATGGGCCTGATACTAAATGGTGCTTCCTCAGTATCAATACCTGTAGGGACTAACTGAGCTCACGGCTGAAACACAGTCTGCGATCCCTCCGACAGATTGTGAAAAATCAGTCATGGGAGAGCAGGAGGGAAACGTCAAAGAAGATAAAGGGCAAAACACAGGTTACATTTCCACATGTTTAGCAAATGTAAACAAATGATGTGTTTTCCCAGTCTAATGGAATGAGTGTCATGTTTTGCACTGATTCAGCAGAGTTGTTGGACCCCAAACGACACTTGGCACAGCAGTGATCATCAAGAGAGTAGTGACGCAATGAATCATTTACAAGACCAGCTGAAACAAGAAATGGAAGAACACATCAGAGGTAATGTGCTGTCATATGAAAAATGTGTCATCTTAGGCAATTCGATGATTTTGTTCGTGTTTCTCTTATCCACAGAAGGTAGAGGGAATGTGGAGAAAGTCCAGGAGAGAGTAGCAAGAATCCAGCAGCTGAAGGAGGCTCTCAGAGAGGAGACACTGAAGAACACGGCTGCTACGGAGAAACATAACCTGTGTCAACAAGTAATACACTCCATATCATTTCTGCCATTTTAAATATAATATTGTACACTTACACAGCAGACTGGAAAACATGTCTTGAAGGCTGTCTGAATACCCTATTAAGCATATAAATGAGATTTGTGTGTGTGAGAGTGGGCAACCCACACCAAGACATTTACTTTGCCAGTTTAATGATCAGTCTCAGTTGGAATACAATAAAGCAAAGGAGCGGAGGAGGCAACTTAAGGAGGATCATGGGAGATTAATTCAAGAGGAGGTGGAGAAGATGGAGAGAGACTTGGCACAGGAACAGCGACTGGTGAGATAATGAGATACACTTGTTTAACATTATTCAGTTTGTGATCTATCTTAGCTAAGGGTGCTGAGTCAGTTTAAATTAATGCAAGGCTGGATTTATGGTGGGCAGAGGAAACCACTGCATTTGCAACTTGATTCTGATATTTCTTTGCATTTTTTATGGTTTCATCCATTCCTCTGCTAGACAGAAGGCCCCGAGAGAGAGCTTCTGGTGCTGACCAGAGAGAGGCAGGTCCTGGTGCTGCAGATGGAGGCCTTGCGCACTGAGGCCCTGCAAGCTGAGAGACACCTGCAGGATCAGTATCAGAGACACCAAACGGAGCTACAATGTCTGAGGGAGGAGAGCCTGCAGGTGGGAGTTTGTTGAAACAGTGAGGGAACATTGATTCAAGTAATATGTCGATTTTTCTCCTATTTTAGTTTTATGACTTTTCGAAGTTAGTAAAGAATTCAGGTGAGTTTTAAAATTTAAGACTCAAATGAAAATATCTCCAGTATGATATATTGATGTTTTCAACATAGGTTTTGGGGGAATATCTTCAATAAGCTTTCTTCTTGCATGTTTCAATAAACTAAAGCATTGAACAATGGGTGTTGAAGAATTAAAAATCATGCTCAATAAAAAATTTTTAAGTTTTTAGGGCAATTGCTTCAAAGTCTTTCCCAAAAATGAAAACTAAAAACAGAATGGGGACACTGCATCTACAAGAGATCAGGAAAAATATTTTTTACTGTTGTCTGACACAAAGAATATATATCTATCATATATCATATATCAATTTTTTTGGTAAGATTACAGCTACTTTATCAAATGTTCACAAAAAATGTTGCTATCCTTTCTGCACCAACCCTATGCTTTTATGTTTCTCTAGGTGTTCAGAGTGTTTCGTCGGGTAAGTGAGGAGCAGAGGAAGTTGTCAGAGAGCAGATACAGGAGTGTGCTGCTGGAGGCAGTGCAGGATGCTGTCTACCTCTCTGCCCAGAACCAGCAGCTACAAGCTGACAACAAACAACTCTGCAAAGGTCAGTGTACATCTCTTAACTTCTAACAGAGCGGCTGTTATATTACCAATAGAACGTAAAATCTGAAGTAAAATATTACAGAAATGGCCAGAGGTGATAGTACCTCTCTCCAGCATTTTAAAAATCGTTCCTCTTTTTCTTCTACAGCCCTTGGAGAGTTAAAGGATGCTCTAGCTGTGAGAGGTGACCCTAAGGCTGAACTGGTATCCCAACAACAATGAATATAATGACTAAAAGATCTTTATGAAACAGCATGCTTACTGTACATCATGAGAAACAAAACTGTTTTTGACAATTTATTGGTTATTATTAACACAGTGTATAACACTTTAGCTTTGACATTGTTCTTGGCAGAGAGTGTGACACAAAACAGAAAAAAAACAGGACAATAGCAGCACTCTTCAGAAGTGTTTAACTGAAGATATAATGGTCTTTACTTGCATTACAATATGTATTTATTTGCAAAAGTGTAACATAATTATAAATTAAACTCTAAACTATGACGCAAATTGCCGTGTGTTGGATTCTGGAGTCCAGGTCAGTCCAAGACTCCAAAGGCAGGTTGATAGAAGGCAGAAAAGAAACTAAGGGAAAAACTCAAAACTCAAAAACTAGGAAAAAGAAGTTTAAGAAGACTATAATGAGAGTTCTTTTTGGGTTGAATGGGCCTCCACTCTTCTATATGTAATAAAGGTAAGCTGCCAGTCCAACCATAGAAACAGGTACAAGGAAAAAAGGACTAAGCTGAAGCCCTAAGGTGGCCCAGGACAACAGAGCATTAACCAGCATGGAGCAGGAAATGACAAACAGTCTGGTGATCCCACTGCCATGCTTGAGCACCACAGACATCAGGAGTCCGTTAGCTGCCTGCCCTGCTATAATGAGCCAAACTGCCCCTGAGTAACCCTCCAGAAAGCTCTTTTCACTTGCTACAGAGGAGAAGGAGGCCAGCCCATTGATGGCCACACCAAATACATAGAGGTAGAGATTCTGCAGGCTGAGGGGCAGCTTCTGGCTCTTCAGCACCCTCTCTGTGTAAACTGCTGCCAGCCCGGAAACACAGCAGTACACCAGCACAAGGAAAAGCCCCCAAGCTGTGATATGAAGCCTGGGAGCTTTCTCAGTGTCAGCCCTCTCAGGGTCCCCTAGATCCAGGCTGCTGTAGCTGTGACACACCCCTGCACCCATGAGGAACCCCAGGGCTAACCACTGAGCAGGCCGCAGCCTCTTGCCCAGGCAGACAGAGTACAGCAGGGCAGTTGAGGCAATTTTAAGATTAGAGAGGACTTGGTATGAGCTAGGGTCCATGTAGGCCTGCATGAGAACTACCAGGTTGTTGTTGAGGGCATAGAGTATGGCAGGGACTGCATAGGGGGCCACAAGGACTAGAGGTGGTGGGGCACGTAAGGCGGATGAAGCCCCACTTAGAACAAGAGTCACCAGAGAGATGAGGAGTTTAGCTAACTCAATCATGACGACACATGATGAGGGGTTGAAAGGGACTTGACCTTCTACTTTGGTGAGGGTGATGAGCGGTGCATGAGAGCCATAGATGAGGACCATCAGCCCCAAGAGGACACCCCACTGAATCCTTTTCACCCACTGTCTCCTAATCCTCGCTGGGGAACTGGTCCCCACATTCTGGATCACAATCATCCTCAGTGATGCAAAATAAACACTTTTAATTTCTAACAAATCTGACTATTAGCTTTAGTGCAAAACTCCTCACTTCAGGCCATTTTAAAATGGACAGCTATAAATCTCAATCATTTAAATATCAATTATAAAATACTTATACATAACATTCTCTGTATAACGCTGTAAATGTAACTTGAGCTGAACAATAAAAGGTGAAGGAAACATTTGCAGAAATTACTGCCTTTTTTCTTTTTTTAAACAGGACTGATTGAAAATCTAACAGGCTCAGACAGTTATGAAATTTGAAGGATGAAACCTTACGGGCACAAAGTCTTACATCTTGTGTTAACATCAAACAGATACAAGTGGAAAAGGAGCAGAGCAGTGTTTAACTGAACCAGATAACAAAAATGCTAATTAAAAAAATCCAGTCTTTTACTTTGAGTCCCAAATGAAATTCCAGTTACATCAAGTAATCTCGAAGGCTGATCTGTCACAAGCCACTGAGAAGCCAGCAGCTACAACAGTATTTCTTCATGTGCCTGTTATGCCACTGGCAAAAGACTGAGGGCTAGCAGTGAGCCCAAATTACTTTGGTCCTTTTTTCAAGTTGCTCATATAATCTTTCACGGTCCTTTCAATGTTGGGCACATCATAGTTCTGTGCCGCGTATATGCCAGTAATTGTTCCCAGCAGCACTCCGAGGATGGCAGAGGAGCGAAGCTTGGCCACCACATAGCCGGCCAGAAAGCCCTTCAGAAATGGAGATCCTAATACAGAGCCTCCCTGCAAGAGGAATATGTAACAGCAGGATCATTAGCACTGTCCCAGCACAGGGGAAGGACAAAAAGATGGGTATAAAAACTGAACACATTTATAGACATATAGGGAATAAATCATTATATCGTCAACAATAAAACAAACACAAAATGATCATTAGTGACAGACAAATTTAAGTTGATATACTGAGGTATGGAACCATATTTTTAGAAGCCCACCATAGGTGAAGAGAAATAGTTTCACATTTCATTAATAATAACTGTCACTTAGTGGTCAGCATTCCTCCACTAATATAAAATATATGAGAATAATTACTACTAATAAAAACTGATAATATATAAAATGACACAGTGAAATATTGCTGCATGAGGTTGACAGACGAGGAGAAAATATTTTCAAAAACGTATTCTGCTCATGTGGCCAGGTATCAGGGGCTGTGAAAACAACTTACCTGCGGAATTCCTACAGAAACCTGGTTCTCCACTCGCCTCTGGATCTCCTCGAGCTGATTTTTGAGCTGCGTCAGATCTTTCAACTGTTTCAGTGGATCCTAATAAATAAAACAAGGACATTACATGTGTGCAAGCAAACAGCGTGACAACATTGATGTTACTGAGGGTAGCTAAAGTTGCTGTACAACAAAGCCTAAAGTTACCGACAGATTATCCTGTGAAGATCTCCTCCAACAACACAGCTGAACAGTATTTGTCGAAGTTTGCTGGTTAGCTAACAGCAGCAAAACTTAGCCAGCTCAAGGATCCACCGGTTTAATTAAGATGCGACACTCACCCTGGTAACTTAATCCGAGCATAGAGCCAACTGCTGCTGAGATTAACCGTTTTTTTCGTCCCCCACAAGTAATTGCTGTCATCTGACGAAACACGTGAAATTAATGCATTTAAAGCCAGAGCACACTAACTCACTCACCTTGTCATCCGCCATTTTTGCTCAGTGGAGCGATCAGTGTTCTGCTCGTCAGCCTCAGCTGCTGATTTTGTTTCAGCTCGATTAGTTTGGGCTAGAATTTACGTTTAAACCCACAATTTTGTCTTGTAGGTAAATAAAACTATGGCTGGAACTTGGACACTGCTCAATGAGACATTTATATGCTTTAAAGTACTTGTTTTTCTACCGCTAACATGTTGATGTGAATATTTAGCAACGTTATTTTTCTTTAGTTATGCATTCACTTGTACTGTAAGACAAAACCGAGGGCTAGTTACTGAAAACCCTTCTCAGGAGAAGAAATGTGTCGGATCCAATACTATATATATCTAAATAAGGGGCTCCATGCCACAAAACTCATATCTCTTACTATATGTGTATTCATACACCATAAATAAATAAATAAATAAATAAATAAATAAATAAATAAATAAATAAAAAATAAATATATAAATAAATAAATAAATAAATAAATAATCAATCTATGGGACGCACGCCTTACTTTCACGTGTCAAAAACGTCTTCTGTGATTGGCCTGTACTTGTTCATTTCGGCATTTGATTCGTTGAAGACCATAGCAACAAACCGCCATGTTTTTTTTTACAAGTCGACGAGAAACCAAAGTACTTTACAGACATAAATGCATCGAAAATCTCCGAAATATTATGAAGCATAGACACATTTCAGCTGTAACTACCGTTGGCACAATGCCTGACATTTTCGGCGACTTCTAAAGGTTGTTCGACGCAGTTCCTAGAGCCTCGGGCCATCGTAGGTAAGGCTTCAACAAGAAGGCATTTCATTGGATAATTCAGTGACTGTGCAGGCAGTATAAACACACGCCATTAAACCTACTTTTAAAGCAGGGAAGGACCAGTGTCTTTAACATGTTAGCGCTATAGGTTAGTGGTCTCTGTAAGAGCTATGCATGACACGTTTCTATTTTATTTTATTTTAACTAAGACACTGCAGTGCCACATTCTCTCTGTATGAAGTACCGACCAGCAGTCACACTGTCCTATTTGCAGCAGCTTATATCAGATAAAGTGTATCTACTTGCTTCTCGTCAGCTGTGATATAGCTATTTACTGTAATAATAAGCTTCACAAATCTAGTGTTTTCATCAAAGCACATAGTGACGCTGCTCAGTCTTGGTCTACTGGTGAAACTTTCGCTTTCAAATTAGGGTGTTAAATGCATAGTATTATGTAATGCCTTTACACCTATGTTTAGCCAAAATTATTGCACTCTGACATAACATACCTGCAATTAAGTCTGCCTTCATGAACATGTTAAACATGACCAACAAACTAATCTCATTCTTATGTTCATACTTTTTCAAGTTGACCCCATCTTTGGAAATCATGGAGAAAGTGGAGGTGTATGAGGTGGTGAAAGTCACTGAGGAGGTGGAGAGCTGCTACAGCCAAATGGAGGTGGCTACCCCAAAAAAGAGGAAGAGCAAAGCTCAAGAAGACTCTACTGAGAAACCTAAGAAGCCTAGGTAATTACATATAGCCCAAAGGACTTTTACATACTGCTGTTAAAATATCATAGCAGTAAGTACAGCTCTGTCTTAAACGAGGATTGATTCTCTAAAAGTAAAAAATGTCTCTCTCATTGTCATGCGCTAATTGCAGAAATGGAATCTGTCTGTTTTAGGTCTGCCTACCTGCTATACTACTTTGATGTTCACCAGATTATGCAACAGGATATACCTAATCTGCCACAGTCAGAGATCAACAAGCGTATCAGTGAGAGCTGGAAAAGGCTAAGTGTGGCTGAGAAAGCCTACTATCTGGAGAAGGCCAAGTCTGAGAAGGAGGGCATAGATACAGTAAGCTACACCAACTTTTTTATGTGTGTACATATCAACCGGTTATGATTAATTAAAATTACAAACATTCATCACATAAATACTCATTTGGACTATCTATAGTAAAGATATCTGCTATTATTGTGATTAGAGTTAAATGGTATTAACCAGTTTCTTTGAGAATCTGAATCATAGTTGGTGCCAAAAGAAGTTCACACAGTTGACATTGATTGATTTGAATATCATCACTTACTAATTAATAAAGTACAAATAATAATTTACAAAAAAAAGTCTGCAGTAAATTGAACAAAGCTAGGCTATTGAACCTTTATTTTTCTTTAGAAAATGTAATAATTGCTGTGATAGTAATGTATATTCTGACAAAACATGTCAACATATAGAACATACATTAGTAACTTAAAGGTGGTGCTGAGCAGTCAACCCAAGCCAATCTTCTTTAAACTGTTTGTGGATGATAGAGTGCTGGTTTTGTCTTACGCTGCTGAGTCCTTCTTTATGATCATACACTGCAGAGCATGTATGTAGAATATTGAAAAGATTTAATTTGTAGTGAATACATTTAGCTGCCACTAAAGATACTTTATCTGCTTTATCTCTCCACCAGCCTAATTTACTGGTGTCTACTGTCATGTCAACACTATTCTATGAATAATCATGCTAACCTTGTATTTACCTCAGTCCTCACTCAGTCCTTCCAAAGACCTGCCAGGCTTCCGCAAGATCCTTCCTAGAGCCAGCTACTTCCTCTTGTCCAAAGGCAGCCCCTCAAATCACCAGCCAGGAGGCTCCCAGTCAGAGGTGAGCATGGAGTCTCTGGAGCCTCTAGCTGAAGGAGGCTTGCCCTCAGGCTCCAGTGCCCAAGAGCCCCAGTTGACAGCTCTAGGGTTGGCCGGTGAGGTGGAACTCTCCGAACAGCCCATTGTTGTTGAAGAGATAGCAGAGGAAACTTCAGTAGTGTCTCGTCCCACTGACCTCCAAGGAATCCCACCCTCCTCTTCCTCCTGTGTCTCATCCAAAGTCCGGGTCTCCACAGACGTCCAGGGCTCCGCTGACCTCACAGCAAAAACACTGAAAGGAAATGAGACACGAGCTGCCAGCAGTGGTTATGGCAGGACGATGGTGCAGCAAATACAGGGGGAAACTACACAGGTGGTTGCCATCATCCCCTCGCAGGTGAGACTATATATACTATATATTGAAATGCTTCATTTATAATTTATTAGTTAAAAATCTATCTAGCTCACTATTTTAGTCACAAAACAGTGTTGTTAGTAACGCGTTGACGTGATTTCTCCCTTCAGAACTTGCTGGAGCCAAAGTCTTTGGCAGGTATCAGCTCTGTGGGCCCAGTGATGATGGTCTCTGTAGGAGCCAGTTCAGAACAAAGTGCCAAGCCTTCATATAAAATGGTAAGCACCCATGGCATTCATCTGGCTGTGAAATGTCAGCACTAAAACTGGCAATCATAGTCTGTATGCAGAAAAGGAAAATCAAGAATATCATTGTCTATATTTGAAAAATCTGATTAGTGGGTGTGGTTGTAACAGTTGAGAGACATGAACTTGTTTTCCTCTTCTTTGCAGTCTGTGAAAACATACACCAGGAGAGGGCGAGGGAGGTGTCTGAATCCTGGATGTTCATTTGTGTATGTCACCCGCCACAAGCCACCAACGTGCCCTGAATGTGGGAGCCTTTTGGGTGGAAAATGGATACCTGCTGTAAGTGTGGAACAATATCTGCACAAACAGTTAGAGATGTTGAAGTTTTGAGTATTAGTACAGTGATTTGGGCTCCAGTTTTGACCTGTGGTTCAAGTCAATCAACTTTGCCTGTTTTATATATTAGGCAAAGAAGACACAAGAGAAAGAAGCAGCATCAAAGCAGTTTCCACAGAGAGCTGAAATCAAGCCTAATGAAAGCTGCCAACCCACACAGCTCCCTGCTCAGGAGGCGAATGCTGATGTCAGTAAAACAAACACCACTGGGAGCAAAAAAGAAGGGCGAGTTCAGTGGCGCTCCAGAAAGCAGCATGTAGTTCCAGGTGGGAAGCCACCAGAGGGCAGCAGCACCAAGCCACGAGAACAAACAAAGTGAGCATTAATATATTAACATGGACTTTAATAGCATGTTGACCATGTGGACTGTAGCGGGTAAAACCTGCACTGTACATTTGCAGATTGCAGGACTAAAGGTTTTAAGTGTAGAAGGTACAACATATACATATACATAACAAAGTTCCCACGTGTGTTCAGTTTTGGTTACTACACACATGGCTTACTTTTATCTGTCTTCATAAATATTTCTGTTAATGAAACACTGAAATGTATAAAAGTCTGGGACAAATACCTGTTGAAAGCCTGAAAATATAAAACAGAATAGGATTATATTGAAACCTTGGTGTGTTGTTATAGCTGCTGTTTTTATTGTTTTTATTGTGAGAGTAGTTAGCATCTTACCCGACATACTTTCCCTCTGTGTATAAGTAGACAATTGAAACCCAGTCCTAAAGGTGCCACAGTCCAATGTCCAGACAGAAGCAGTGCCACTGTTCAAAAGAGGCCTGTCAGACCCATCCTCCCTGCCTATTACAGCACAGGTGAGATAAAAACATGCAACACACAGGAAATGTTTTGTTGATAGTGTCGTCAATAAGCTGTCAATAAGCCGTTACCATATGAATTTACATATTTGCTTGTGTTTGTAGGCCGTGCCTTGTTTCAGATTATAACTGTCCCACCTGACAAGGGAAAATTTCAGACTGCAAACAACAACAAATCATCAACTGGTACTGTGCATCATTTGATTTTATTTCTAATATAGCTTTACTAAATGTAATCTTTCAGGTCAGTTTGCATACAGTTTTATTTTATGTTCATTCAGTGCTTATTATTGGCATGTGCTGACTATCTTCACTACACAGAGAGGAAGTGAGGTGTCAGTATAAGTATCTTTCAGAGGTTTTCTGCTCTCAACTGATGTGGTTGTTTTTCTAACCTCAGTGACCAGAGAGAGTTTCTCAGGTCTAAAACCCAGCACTTTAAAGCAGCTCGGCCAAGCAGTCACGACAACCACAGCCAAGCAGGTTGTTACACACTAGACAACACAAATAGACAACAGCAAAGCTAGCTGCAGATTTAATCTCGTTCCCTCACTTTCTGCATGTCTTTCCATAGGATTCCCCTGCTCCAGCAGATGGAAGCCAGCCTGTGTCTTCACTGACTGATAGGAGAGTGAATATCCTGTCAGTCGTGCCTTTCAAACAGCACACTGTCTCTAACTTTGTCAGTATACAACTATTCTTTGTGCAATTTAGCCTGCTGTAAATTTTCTTTTTCTATTAGATTACACTCAATGTTCCTTTGTGGAATGTAATTTTGTCTCTGAATGTCCCTTGTGGCTTGATTTGTGTGTCATTCTTGCTTGTCTTTACTCTCTTAGGACTTGGGACTGTCCACAGCACGAGGCAGGGGTCGCTGTAAAAACCCATCCTGTGATTATATGTACAAGAACAGACACAAACCTGCAGTGTGCCCTAAATGTGGATGTGAGCTGACCCAGAAGAACACCAAGGCAGCAAAGGTGAAAATGTTTTCTGAAGTGCAGATACTGTAAGATTAGTTTCCAGCTGTATCTCTGACCTCTTGAACCTCTGTGTGAGCCTCAACACATCCTAGTTCCAGAGCAGCCTCCTCTTAGCACTCATAAATCTAGACTTAAGACCGATAACACCAGGCCATAAAACCCTGGTTTTTCTCTTTTTTTATGTGTATTTTGTTCTTATTTTCACTGTTGAGCATTCTTAGACATTCTGTTAGCATTTTATTGGTCTCAGTACTAATAATATTCGAACTTTATTTTGTTAATCCTGACATTAAGATGTGTCCACTCCAATTATTGGAGGAGTTAATTTAACCATGTAGAAATGCATGAACTAGCCTGTATATACAAACCTTCCCTTCTTCTCATCTTTATTATTTGCTGTAGCAATGAATCACTTTCACTTTAATGATTATTAAAGCTAACATCGTAACTATCTTTTATATAATTTAATGTGGACAAATTGCTCTTATTACTCTTGTTTTCCTTTCTCAGTCTGAGATGCTGCTGGATCCGTACCAGGCCCTGAGTCCTGCTCAGAAGGACATCCAGCGGCAAAATACACTGCAGCTACTGCGTCGTTCCCTGCAGATTCCTGAAAGCGAGACTGAGCTTCAGGAAACATTAAACCTCATCCAAGAGCTCAATAGTCTCCAGATCATCTTGGTTCAACCAGGTGACCAGGAGCATGAAGACAGCACAGGGACGGAGACGCTGGTTGAGTCTGGGTGGCCTCAATACTTTGAATCAGCAGCTACTCACTGTGGCCTGTGTAACTACCCTCTCTTCAAGGGAGGTCAGAGGTGAGAAAATGGGAAGTGGGATGAAAAGTGATATTTTGAGAGAGAGAGCGTGATTTAGTGGTTTACTCCAGTGGTTTACGCGTGTGTGTGCGTGTGTGTGCGTGTGTGTGCGTGTGTGTGCGTGTGTGTGTGTGTGCGTGTGTGTGTGTGTGTGTGCGTGTGTGCGCCTGTATGTTGTAGTACTGTGGCAGGACAGGAAGACTGCTGGCTGCTTACTGAGGCCCTGGTGCAGACAGCTTCTCTTCAGCTCAAGGTGTGCCTCAACGTTCAGTGTCTGGCTCTGCACAGCTTCACTGACCTGCATCCAGGTAAACAGCAGCTCTTTCAACAACTTGTATATTGTATTTCTATGTTTTCTTTGAGGGTCAAGGACCGAAGCCTGGCAGATTCTCTTTACTTTTGGTTAACTGTCTCCAATTGTCTAGTCTCTGTACATTTGTCCACACAGAGTACCTCAAAGATTTCGGGTATACTTCTGGGTAATACTGCCATTTCAGCATTTTCAAAATTAAAGGGTGGTAGTTGTTTGCACATCATCCCACAATTGTGTCTGATGCATGCTGCATATTTAGACTTTTCCTTAATTACATCAGTATTTTTGCTGTTTGGCCAAAACTACAACTATGGTGGTTGTTTTGCTTGCAGTACAAATATTTCAGACACAGCATTGTGGTACATTTTGATATAAAAACGCAAAAAGTGTAATTATTAAATGAAAAATTGCTATCATCATATTTTATCTTCAGTGTTTTTACAGAATTTCCTTACCTTTTCAATACGCATATCTTCATCAGCTAGTGTAATGACTCGTAATGCAGCAATTTAGAAAATAAAGCAAAATTGAATGTAGACTGCGCTGCCTCTATTCACCTCCACTGAAATGTTCTGATGTATCTGTACATATAAGAACATCAAAGTGCAAAGAGGTGTTTTTGTCGTTAAACTGTTAAATAAAACATGTATTTATTATATATGGTATGGTGATATCTGGAGCTGGAATGCAAGCTGCTGAGATGACCACCAGCCTCAACCAACAGATGGGTTCTCAAATCTCCAAAAATGTCCAATTTCCAAACCAGCATTTTTTCCGATAAAACAGACCACACATTTAAAATCTAAATAGTTAATTTCTCACCTGAAAAATATCAAAACTTTTAAGTTGGGTTAGGATCATAAAGCCTATATGCATGCTATATATATATATATATATATCATCCCCCCAGTGGCTTGGAGCACTTCCAGTGTAGCAATTATTGCTGCATGTGTCTTATCTATTTGTATATGTTCTGTTATTTGTAGCATATTTCCCTTCATTTTTGTGCTTTAACTCTTTTATTTTCTCTGTCCTTAAAGGCCACCGTAGCAGAAGATCACAGTTAAACAACAATATTTTTCTTGTGTGTTTATGGTAACAGCAATGCTCTGTCACAGTATATCAAGTGTATATAAACAGTGTCTCCTGACAATGTTATTTTTTCTAATGTGGTAAAGCCGGTAGCTTTCTCAGAGAATTAAAACACTGATTCCTTTTATGTCTCTTTCTTTTTTTTTTAACAGGTTTGTTCAACATCGGGAACAGGTTGCTGGTGAGTATTGACCTGCTCCTGAAGATCAGGGTGAACATTAGACTGGGCCAAGCGCCCTCTCAGGCAGCCAGGACCATACTGGACCACATCCCCAATCACCCTGGTAAATTGTGGATTACTCTCTACATACATGAATACTGCAATTGAGTTTCATTTTGTATGTGATTTTGATAGTCACTTTTCATTTTCTGTATTGCCAATTTTGTTCTTACTGTATTTCACTGTATGTTCTCTATGAATCTCACTGTGTTTTCCTCTTTTGCGTCAGTCCATGCACTGAATCCTGAGGAGTTATCCCAAATTCAAGAGCTTCTCCTGAGTGGCTACTGGGCCTTTGAGTGTCTGACGGTGCGAGATTACAACGATATGATCTGCGGCATTTGTGGTGTTGCTCCCAAGCTGGAGATTGCACAACGACACACACGCAACGTGCTGGAGCTCAAGAATGTGGAGGTGACAGAGTAATTTCAAAATTGTTGCAAAATGAATCCCATTCTTCAAGCTATTTAGCAGTGACAGCAACTTACATTTTCCCTGAACCACACTGTCTCCATAGTTTACCTGGCCTGAGTTTACGGTCTCAGATGAGGTACATGTGGATGACTTCTGGCTGACCATGGAGAGTGAGGCTATTGAGCAGGCAGCTTTCCCCACCGACATCCCTATCACACGTGTGGACGCTTCCATCATCGCTCCCTTCATCCCCCCTCTGATGAGGAGTCCCAATGTTATCAACACAGAGAAAGACAAGGCCTTGTCACACACAGAGCAGCCCTCAGGTACTGAACCTGTTGAACTATCAGATTTTATATGCACTAATCCTGTGAGTTGACTTTTCACTTATGAACATGAACATTTTTTCTGAAAGTGAGAAACGAGGGAAAAGTGATTCTACCCCTCACATGTTACCCATCACACATTCATAGCTTCATAGAGAAACAAATGGAAAGAGGTGGGAAAAGATCATTCATTTCAGAACAATCATATGGTTTGTTTATTATGGGTAGGTGGTAGTAGTTTAATATATGCAAAGGTCATGCAAGGGTTCCAGTTTGAACTAATTCTGTGTTAGCATTATGCTAAAGTTATTATTGCATGTAGTACTTAAAGTATGTAAAGCTTTGTTTTGGTTCCATTATGTTGACCATGAGATTGGTTTCCACCATCTCTTTCAGGAGATCCATCAGTTCTGGTGCGTCTTATTCATGATGGTCAGCTGAGACTCGACAAGATTGAGGATCACAGTGAGGACGAGCTGAGAACAATACTGGACGGCTGTGGGGTGAACATCACCTCAGGCTCCACTAAGGTGTGTGTGTGTGTGTGTGTGTGTGTGTGTGTGTGTGTGTGTGTGTGTGTGTGCATGTGTGCGCGTGTGAGGGAGAGAGAAGCATGTGCCTATGCGCTTATTATGCACATGTTTTTTTGTTGTATGTTATTGACTTGAAGTAAACATGTTGGCTGTAAAATAGTAGATAGATATCGAGTGTTACATGCTGATCATGTGATAAATTCTTGGATTAAAGCACAGGAAATCCCCCTCCCCTCCCCCGCACCCCAGGGTTGAAGGGACTTTGGGACTTGCTCAAGGGTATTTCAGCAAGTTGATTTGCTTGCTGTGATGGGAGTTTGAATCTGGCTGAAAGATGACTTCCTGATTAATTTTAAAGTTTGAGTTAATCTTATCTCTGACATACTTATATCAGTGTGTGAGTATGTTTAAAAGTCTCCTTTCTGTCTTCCTCTATGTTAGAATGAGCTGCTGGCTTCTCTGATTTCATTGTGCACGCTTGTTCATAGCGGCCTCTCCACTGCGCCACAGCCGCCTCCACACCTCACTGCTGGCAAGCTGTCTAAGGTCTGCCCCCACAAGGTAAAAACAGTAGCTCTGTAATGTTTAATAACTAGTCACCTAAATCTATTCTTCTGTCCATTCAAAGCTCCAAATGAACAATGTCTTTGTGTCAAAGCTTTGATACAATATGTAGCATTTTAAAACTCCAAATGCAACATGCAGCCATGTACTGTATGAAAAACTAAAACAAAAATTGTTCAAGTTATATGAGCCTAAAACTCAAATGTTCCCCTTATGTTTTCCATGTATTTATAACATTCCTCTGTAAGACTTTGAAAAGTTTGGAAATGGTTTGTGCACTAATTGTCCACTCCTGTCCCATTCTTGTGACCAGGTGGTGTGTGGCTCTAAATACTTGGTGAGAGGAGAGACGGCTCGAGATCACGTCGACCTGCTGCTGTCCTCTCGCTACTGGCCCCCAGTCTATGTTAGTGACTGTGCCCGTCAGGTGGCGCTCTGCACAGACATGCTGTATCCAGAATTGGCAACCCAGATGTGGGGCAGGAACCAAGGCTGCTTCTGTGATCCCTTTGAAAAGCCAGAGGTGAGGGATTTCAGTGTAACCTACTTATCTGTCAAGGAACTCAGACTTCTGCTGGTTAAAATGAAAACAAAACGAGTTAAAGGATCAACAAGTAATAATATGACAATGCACATATATATTCACATGAATCACAAGTGATAAGTGGTGACTTGTGGATTTTCTGTTTGTCACCTGATGATAAGTAAATTGAAAAAATACAGGTTTGTTTGTGTTTGCAAAGTTATTTATGTAAAAGTTGAAAACTTTGTTTTCATGTCTTTGTTTTCAACTAAAGTTAGGTAATCTCTGAAAATCTTTATCTTTCTATTTTATTTTAGTGCGTTTTACCTATTTGTTACATTTGGATCGAAGATCAATCTTTTTAATACATATCTCTGTGCTGAAAATTGAAGGCCTGTCTATTTTCTTTTTCTTTGCTTAAGGCTCAGTGTTGCTCTCCTTTTTCTTCTACAGTTTGTGTCATGTGCTGAGCTACAAGACCAGCCGTACAGTGCTGACCTTTCCTTGGTAGCTGAGAACCAGCAGGTCCACCCCATCACCAAATCTTCTTCTTGCTGGCTGGTTCATCCTCCTGGAGCGGAACAGCCCCCGGAGCCTCCTGCTCCAGAGCACCACTCAATGTCCCACTGCAGAGACCTGGAGCCCTACATCAGCCTGGTGGCTGAGCTGGAGAAAGAGAAGGAAGAAGAGGATGATGAGGGGCCAGAACAGAAAGAAAACACAGACAAAGCTGAGAAAGACACCACAGAGAAATCAGAGGACTGTTCCTCTGTGAACCGTGCACGGTGGCGACCTGTCGTTTTCAGCAACACAGCCTATTACTACCTTTACAACCGTATGGTAGATTACCTCATTAGTAGGGACATCGTGAGCCAGCAGATCAACCAAGTGGTGAAGGCCTGCCAGCCGGGAGAGGTGGTGATCAGGGATGCTCTGTACCGGTTGGGAGTGGCACAGATCAACACAGAGAAAGAAGAAGAAGAAGGAAGTGTAATTGATGAACAGACACAAGAGGGAGGGACAGAAACATATGAGGTTGTCCTGCCTGAATAAAAATGTTTAGGATGGACAGCTGCATGAATCAACAGGCAGACAGAGGCATGGACTGAATGTAAAGATGGCTGCATGCAAAGAGGTGATTGCAGAACAAAAGAGCCATGTGGGAAAAGGAGATGCCATAAGGAGAGATGAAAGTGCTACCAGAAGCGTCCAAGAGTGTGAGAAATACAGTTCTAACCCTGAGGGAGCAGAAAGTACCAGAGAGTATTTTACTGTTAGTAAAGGACTAGTCTGTACAACAACACTCTTCATCAGTTATACAGTGCTGACAGGTTTTTCTGATGTGAGGAAATGTGCTGAATATGGATGCAGTGGGTTGAATCTTGAAGAAGTGGACCTTTTTATCATTGGTAATGAGAAGACTGCAGAGTGCTCAGTAGTGTTTACTGTGAACATACTGACAAAGACATACATTATAATTACAGGTTACAAAGTCATTTTTAACCATCTATAACAGTGGGTGTGATAATAAGTGTAAGTTAATATGGTGGAGTAAATGCAACACTTTTACCAATGTGGTGCCAAGAGTTAAAAGAAATGAAAAAGTATGTGAAGGTGATAGAAAGTTGGGTCCTAAATCTAAATCAGTGCTTTCCTGTGACTGAACGAATGTAAACAGGATTTTAATAACTCAGCTACTTCAAGCCTAAGAATACTTAACCGTGAATAGTTGTATATTTATTGCCCTTTTATGTCCAGAGACATTTCTGCTTTGTGTTTTACACTCTTACCTCTCACCTGCCACTTGTTGCCTTTTCGACCAATGTTTGCTTTTGAAAAGTGATGATAAAAATCTATCTGTTCATTTTACTGTATCATAATGTGATGATGGACCTTTTGGCCTTTTGCTTCATTTTGGATCATTCTGGCTTCTCAGTGGAGATCCATTCGAGGTTGCATTCAATCAGTTGTCTTGACTCTTGTCAACCAATCACCAGTTAGCCATTAACAATAAACTGGAGATATGTAGTGAACCTGCCAGCATGAATTGCTTTAAAAGTGAAACTGATTGCTGTTTTTTTTTTGTTTTGTTTTGTTTTTTTTTCTTTGGAATTGGTCAGTAATGCTTTGTGATGAGCTAACAAGGCTTTTTTGAGCACTCAGGCTGACCAGGCAGTTATGATGCAAATTAGTTCATAAACTGAAGTTTCAGGTGTTCAATAGCGACACCCGTGAGTCAGGAGAAAATGCAGCAGCCAAGCTTTTGTGTAGATAAAGACGATATTGAAATAGCTTGACTAGTGAAATTCTGTTAATTAAACTGCTGATGCAACAAATAAATGAATTTACACTTCTGGTCAGCTTCACTGTGGTAAAACTGTTAAATGATCTGACTCATTAAGTTAATGGGTAATACAAATCGTTGTCTGATATAGTATTACTCCTCCCTACTAATGCATTTGCTCATGTGGCTATTAGTGACATTTAAAAATATGGAGGAGCAACATTTTTTGTGATTAGCTAAACAGTGATGAAGCTTCTTGTAGCTGGACTTCGTCTACAAATACTCTTTTATAACTCATTAGAAGTGGAGTGACACGCAATCTCATGTCGGCTACAAACCTAACAACTGTGAAGCGGTTTCTTACTCATGTCTTCATAAAAACTCCTCACCAGAATTACTATCATTCCCATACCAGTCATGTGATATGAAAAAAGGCTTCAAACATCATGGATGTCATGGTTATCTCCAGCACCACAGAGCGAAAAAGCTCCAGAATGTGTAAAGAGTAGGACAGGAAGCTTCTTTGGCATCAAATGTTACTTCAGGCAGAGACTCTGACAGAATAAAGTGAGGATCATACCGTACATTGTTGTCTACTCTTGTCAATTAACAAGAGTGCTTGTTGTTCACTCCGTCTTCAGGACCTTAACCTTATAGTTCTTCAGATTAATAGGTTTTATACATGTATGCATATTTAAAACCAACCCCTGCCATATTTAATGTTTTTTTTCTGTTCTCGCTTAGTTTGGACTTCTTGTAATAACCCCATTTTTAGCACCACATCGCTGCTAATTGTGGGTTTTTCCCTCAAGCGAAGTTATATCGGGATTGTGGATTTACAGTAATTGTGTGTGAAGGACTCATTGGACTTTGATCCAATAAGTTTGAAAGAGATATATTGTTTTTATGTTGTTTTTTTTATACTTTGCAGAATAATGTTTTGCATGCAATATGATGCATCACTGTGGGCATACCACCAGCTACACCAGTTACAACACTACAAAGCTCTCCGTTTTCATAACAACTAGTCTGGCCTCACTTTGTTTTATATTTACATTTTACTGCTGATACATCATTATATTTACTCAACATATGTAAGAACTTTGGTTTGAATTGACTCTATCATTCCAATAAATCAGTCCAAAATGACCAACACAACTATACAACACAGTTAAACTTTTCACTTATTGTATAGCAGTGTGATTAAGTTCATTATATGTACTTTACATACCTGAAAACAAAAATTGTTTTAAACCAAAATTATCAAGGAGAAAAATCAAGACAAAGCTCAGGAATGTTTGTTTGTGATGTTGCTAAAAAAGATCATTAAAATGACAAGTGAACTTTTTTTGGACAAACACGCCACAGTTAATGTGAAGAGTGTTAGAAAGAGGATCTGTAGGAATGAGTGTAGTGGGAGATAATTATGCCTTCACTCAAACTCGATAATATCTCTAAAAACAGATATTAAAGACTGTTGTTCAAAATATACTTCATTAAGTCTGGCAGTTCATAAAGTAAAAATGAGGATCTGTGAGTGGTAAGCCAGACAAAGGAGGAAAAGCATTTGGACCTTCTGTCGCCTCAGCGATGGATGAATACTGATGAATACTTCCCTACAAAGATTTCAAGGTTGTGCAATGTTGACAGATACTGTGGGAAACGTTCCAGAGGAAATGCAGATTGGACATTATCCAATAAAAAATAGGAAGTGAGGAGAGAAGAACATCAAGGCCACACAGTTTCTATCCGCACAAATGTCTGACATATACAGTACATGATGTTCCAGTAGTATTCACACATTACAATGGAATCAATGGAATCTGGATTTTCAATGGTAAAGCTTTATTCAACACCTCTGCAGTTTTTCAGTGATTAAATTTGCAGCTTTTGCATTGATTGTCTCATTTGCACAAAAAAAACCCACACAACACAATATATGAAATATTGATGTATGACTTTCTACTCTACAACATTTCAGTGAAAATAAAGATGGTTCTTGATTTACATGATATAGATATATACATTATTAGACATCTCACTCATGCTCCATTCAGATGCAAGCACATTTGAAATGCCTGAAGTCATACAAATTTGCAGTCTGTATCTCTCACATAGCTTATATTATGTTATTCTAAAATCTTCATAGAGTTGGCAGTGTAGGCTGACTGGTACATATAGACATGGGTGAAGCTTACATTCTAACACTCTTCTAACTTTACAGGAAATGAGAAGATTAAGTTGTGCCGTGAAAAAACAAAAAAAACAACAACAACAACAAAAAAACCTTCACATTGTCAGACATGAACCTTTGTTCACCTGATCCACCATGGATCCACAGATTTCCCTGCTCAGTTCAGTTGTATTCCCTGCTCCTAAATCACACTGAACACTGGTTAATTAATTACATTGCAGTGGAACAATCACATGTTGCCACCAACTGACAGCTACTGTAAGTGAGTCACAAGAAGCACAGCTATGACCAAAGCACAGAGAGGAAAACAACATGGCCATTCTTTGCCCTCTCCATGGATGATTTAGCATGTTTAACCCAGGGAGAAACACTTGCACTCTTTAGATGTTCAATTAAGGTGATCAGAGAATAAAACCTAGCTCTCCGCACCACATAAAGATTGGTGGCTCAGCTCTCACAGTTTTGGATCCAGTGTTTGTGCCTGTTGGCTTGCTTCCTCTGAAAAAACCATACATGCAATAAAGTGATGAAAAGGAAGTGAACCTGCTGACAAAAGTGGCCGAAATCTCCACAAAAAACAAGACATTCACACTCAAGGGACAGTAATAAAAAATAGTAATAAACATAGTGTACAATATATAATTAAGAACACTCGTGAGAAGAAAGGACAGACAGGTTTTTGTCTCCTTTGGATAAGCTGTATCAGATTATACCTCAAATACATAACAGAAGGAGTGATAAAACAGTCCGTGAGGGTGTAACGCTTAGGGTAAGATACAGCTTTGGATGTTTGTGTGGTTTGTCGACATGTTTCCTCCTTTCATGTCTGCAGCCGGTGTGAGACGTGGCAATTTCTAGTCATGGTCTGCAAAGAAGCAAGTCACATGCTTGCTGCAGCTGCTCGTCTGTCTGTCGAGCAGACGCAAACAGCAAAAAATAGCTGTGATGGCGACTCTCTGCAACTGTCCAGCGGTTGGAACAAACTGTGGTACTTTGACCACAATCTACAGTTCATCCCATGATGCTTGCTGATGAGTGATTGATTTACTGATTGATTGGGGCTGAGGGCTTTCAACAAAACTGGTAGTTGTTGGTCTTCATCAGTGGCTGCTCCTCTTCCTCGTGGTCACAAGACTGGTCACAGGGGCCGTCACAGCACTTGGGTTCGTCACACACTTCACCCTCTGTGACCTGCTGCTGCACATTCTGGTAGATTAGCTGTGGAGAGGCATCAGTATGATGGTTAGACTGGATCCAGAAAAGCCAAATATCGCCTTCATCCAGCTTCAGTGCTACGGTGCTATAAGTGAAAGAAGTCTTGCATTCAAACAACATGTGTAACTAAAATATCAGTCCATTGTTAATTATGTGCCAGAGAATGTTTCTGTGAGTATCTAATTTGGGAAACAACACCCAAACGAGATTTTATCACAAGCAATCTAATTCATTTAATTGGTTTGACAGCACAGCTGAATTTGTTTTCTCTTTGGGAGAATTAAATTAAAACAAAAACAAGGTTTCCTGAGGACATCTAGGCTGGGGAATGCCATTTTGTTCCTTGTATGATTCTGCTGAAGCCAGACTGGAGCCACTATAACCTCCTCTACAGTAAACCCACCTGTTCCTGCTCAGGTTGGTCCCCAAGTAGTCTCTCTATCATCTGACTGATCTTGCTGAACGTGGGACGCTCCGTGGGCTCCAGATTCCAGCACATCTTCATGATCATGTAACTGAAACAAAAGCAAATCATACTTAGGAGATAGATTTATTTCCCGACAAATTCAACCAGACAAAACATTAATTGATGCTATTCATTTTAAGGGATTTATATCTGAGGCTATGCACCTGATTTTCAGTGCAAACTGCTGAGCTTTTGTGGTAAAATTGAGAAACTAAAGCCAAAACTGACAAATAAGGCGAGACTTATGGAGGTGGTGACGCAGTTTGATAAGAGAGACTCGTTCATAAGAATCCCTGCCCCTCCAGTCTTATTTCGCTGCCGTGAAATACCAGTTACATGGCCTCCTAGCTTTGAGATCATGTGGCTAACAGGCAGAACCGAGGCCTGACTCACAAAAGAACAACAGATGATTAGGCCCTGACTCAGATTCAGTCCCCTCCGTTTCCACAACACAGTTATTCCGGGTGGTGTGACAGTCACATCAAATCAGCACACACAGATGTTAGGGCCCTCTGAGATACTGGGAAAAACACTCTCTTTATTTTCACATCTCGCTGGCTTGTAAAGTCTGGAGTTTAGGCTTGTTGAATTTTGAGTTTGGGGTTAGGAGATAATCCAAAGCAAGCAAATTAAAATCAGGAATAATAGAAGTACTTCATGAGTTTATCTCATGTGTCAGTTAATTCTGATGTTAGATAGCGTGGCAGACTGGCAAAGAAAAAAGGATCTTTGTTCAGTTGTGACGAACATTTGGGAAGCCAGCCGTTTGAACTGTCTGATGGTAAAGTCAACTTAGGATCAAGGATCTAAGTTTTTTATAAATCAGTCTTTTCATGCTAATGCAAACTTCATGTTGTGCACTAGTTAATAGTATCCTTTTTGCAGCAGGTCTCGCCAGTTAGTAAGCATAACCACAGTGTTACTTCTATTCTTCCTCTCAGTCTGAGGTTGAGTGCAAACATTTCACCAACTGATAAAAAGCTGACTATTACTATTTACTAATAATCAGGTGACAAGAAATAGAGTATTAAAAATAGTGTTTAAAGACTGGTGTGTGCAAAAGGCAGCAGTGATCCATCCTTGTAAGTCTTACATTTCAGGTGGGGCAAAGTCTGGTTGGGACATCTGGTAGCCGCGCTTCACCATCTTGTAGAATCTGGTGTCCACAGCCATGCTGGGGTAGGGGCTCTTGCCTAA